AGCAAGAGCAGCATACTTCTCCTCATTAATAGAGGAGAATAAGAATAATCCTAGATTTCTTTTTAATACAGTTGCCAAACTCACCCAGAGCCATAGCTCTGTTGAACCGTCCATTCCACCTGCTCTTAGCAGCAATGACTTTATGGGATTCTTTATAAATAAGATTGATCTTATTAAAAATAAGATCATAAGCACTCCTCTATCCGCGATTGTACCTGAGGTAGTCATGGAATCTGAACTGGGTTTAGACTGCTTTGATCCAGTTGAACTCTCTGAATTAGCAAAATTATTGTCTTCATCTAAGCCTTCAACTTGTATGTTAGATCCAGTTCCAACCAGGTTATTTAAGGAGGTATTCCCTTTGATCTCCTCCTCCATTTTAGATGTGATTAATCTATCTCTGTTACAGGGATATGTACCTAAAGCTTTTAAGGTTGCTGTAATTAAACCTCTGCTTAAGAAACCGTCTCTTGACCCAGATGACTTGGTCAATTATAGACCTATATCCAATCTTCCTTTCTTATCCAAAATTCTTGAGAAAGTAGTTGCCAAACAAGTTTGCGATCACTTCCACCATAATGAACTTTTTGAAGAGTTTCAGTCTGGCTTTAGAGCTCATCATAGCACTGAAACAGCTCTGGTGAAAGTCACTAATGATATTCTCATGGCCTCAGATAATGGACTTGTATCTGTGCTCGTCCTGTTGGATCTTAGTGCTGCATTTGATACAGTTGACCATAATATTCTTTTAGAAAGACTTGAATATTTTGTTGGAATTAAAGGAACAGCACTAGACTGGTTTAAATCTTATCTATCTGATCGAATTCAGTTTGTTCATGTTAATGATAGATCTTCAACACGCTCAAAGGTTACCTGTGGAGTACCACAGGGATCAGTGCTAGGACCAATTCTCTTTACTTTATACATGCTCCCAATTGGTAGAATTATTAGACAGCATGGGATTAATTTCCACTGTTATGCTGATGATACCCAGCTATATCTGTCTATAAATCCAGATGAAGCTAACCCATTACATAGATTACAGGCATGTCTTGAAGACATAAAAACCTGGATGACTCTTAACTTTCTGCTTCTGAATGCAGACAAAACAGAAGTTATAGTCTTTGGACCAGAGTCTCTGAAAAAGAAACTGATTAGCCAGTCACTTCATTTGGATGGGATTAAACTGATTTCAGATAATAAAGTAAAAAATCTTGGTGTTGTTTTTGATCAGGACCTGTCATTTAAATCCCACATCAAAGAGGTTTCTAGAATTTCCTTCTTTCATCTGAGGAACATTGCAAAAATTAGAAATATCCTGTCCAGGGGTGATGCTGAGAAACTAGTCCATGCATTTGTTACTTCAAGGCTGGACTATTGTAATTCTTTACTATCAGGAAGTCCACAAACTGTAGTTAAAAGCCTTCAGCTGATCCAAAATGCTGCAGCCAGAGTTCTAATGAAAATTAAAAAGAGAGATCATATCTCGCCTATCCTGGCTTCTCTTCATTGGCTTCCTGTTAAATCAAGAATAGAATTTAAAATCCTCCTTCTCACATATAAAGCCTTAAATGGCCAAGCTCCATCTTATATCAGAGATCTGATTGTTCCTTATGTTCCTAACAGAGCACTTCGCTCTCAATCTGCAGGTTTACTAGTGGTTCCTAGAATTTCTAAAAGTAGAATGGGAGGCAGATCTTTTAGTTATCAGGCTCCTCTCCTGTGGAACCAACTACCAGTTTTAGTCCGTGAGGCAGACACCCTGTCTACTTTTAAGTCTAGGCTTAAAACTTTCATTTTTGATAAAGCTTATAGTTAGGGTGGCTCAGGTTATCCTGAGCTATCTCTATAGTTATGCTGCTATAGGCTTAGACTTTTGGAGGACATAGGGACCCCCATTTCATCATTCTGCTTCATTCTCTCTCTGTTCTCCTATTCTGCAGAATCTGTTAGTTCAATCTCTAACCTTCTGCTCTCTCTGCTTTTCCTCAGAGTAGCTTTGCCTCGTCTGTTCCTGTTTGGCTGTGACGTCATCCTGGAAAAAAATATCAGCTGTGCTGCTTCTATCAACACCCTTGTTAATAGATGTTGGAGATCGGCCTGTTTTCCAGTGTGGTCCTGTTTCTCTGACCGTGACTGAGTGGATGTGCTCTCTTCGTCCTCTGGCATGGGAGCTGCCTCGGAGCTCGTCTGCCTGGCTGTGTGTTTCCTGGACGGGGCCGCCTTTTACAGCTGCTTTTTGTATCTCTGCTTCTGTCTCCTTGAACCCCAGTCGGCCTCGGCAGATGGCCGCTCACACTGAGCCTGGTTCTGCTGGAGGTTTCTTCCTGTTAAAAGGGAGTTTTTCCTCTCCACTGTCGCTACAAGCATGCTTAGTTTGGGGGATTGTATTTGAGTCAATGAGTCAATGCAATCAACTGGTTTTCCTTAGATAGAAAACTTTGTATCAATTTGATCTGGTTGAACTGTAAAGTGCCTTGAGATGACATGTGTTGTGAATTTGGCGCTATATAAATAAACTGAATTGAATTGAATTTTAATCGCACATTTTTTTTCTGATTGAAAATCATTTAAATACTCTCGATGACATACAAAAAATACATACAGGCTAGGTTTGTGCCAATGTTCTTTTTTTTAAATGAAAACAGGTCACAGACACTGATTTATGCCATAGAAACATATGGCAAGAAGATGGGGAGGCATGTAGCAAAAATAACAAATATGTAGCCAAAAAAAAGGCCCTGAAAACAGGCTGATGTAAAAGACAGTCTTTACAGTTAATACAGTCTTTTGAACAAAGACAAGCATTTTACCCTACTGCTATAAAATGTAGTAGAGTTAACATTAGATGTTAATTAACCAAGATAATAATGAACAATTTTCAATCAATACATCAAAATCAATAGACCGACATCACTAGATGGAGGTAGTCTATGCTCTAGAAAGTTACTTTTCAGCCTCTTAACAAAAATGAGAACACACACACACACGATACTGACCTGTGGCGTACACAGACAGCAAGAGTGCCATAGCAGATTCCATTTCACCTCAGTAATCTGTTTTCTCAGCATATTTCAGGTTGCTACCAGGCACCAGACACTCAACTTGTTTGTTGGTGGTGGGGCTTAAAGAAAAGGCACTAGCGCTATCCAGTGTATGAGCGTCTTTTTACCTTGAGGCGCTCCGCTCTCGAAGCCTATGAGAAATGCATAGACTGGGCGAAAATAGCCCCGCCTTCCCGCAGGCTGCAGCGGGATGTTCTTGGAAAATTGTACCATAAAACCACATAGCGTTAATCTCACGTTAAAAAAATTATCGCCGTTAAAATGGCCTCGCGTTAACGCGATAATAACGCGATAATTTTGACAGCACTAATATATGTATATATATATATAAACAAAGCAGTGCCCCCACTCGTCTCTGTGACGTGAATAAATAAATTGCAGACGCACATTCACACATAACACTCACATCCAATAATCCCAGGACCGAGGACCCGGCGGTGCCGGTGGCTGGTCCCGGGATTACCGGATGACCAAATAGGTGAACATAAAATCCAGATAGAGGGGAGGGGAGTGGTGTCACAGCCACACTAACCCATCTAGTTCATGCTTTGGTCACGGCCCCCTAACCCGCAATCAGCCCTGACGACCCCCAGTTAAAGCCCCCCGGGGACAGGGCCAACATGTCCCGCGGAGGCCACCCAACCAGATCCTCCAGAAATAGAGGTATACCTCTATTTTGAATTGATAGCCCCCCCTGGAGAAAACTCCACCAGCCCCAACTGCTAAAGAGTAAAGTAATTACATGTATTTCATTTCTGTGTTCCTAGTTTTCCTCAGGAAGAATATTTTCATTTACTTCATGTAGGTAAATCTTTCAACTGATTTGCCAGCAGTCAAATGTCTTATGGAAAAGCAATGACGAGATGGGCGTGATTGTTGATCTTGAGTCTATTTCAAAGGCAAATCATTACATTGAAACTTAGGACTTAAAATAGCCAGCTGTCTACTTGGAGTTTGGCAGACATAAGGAGTTCTTTAAAAACAAATGAAAATTAATCTTTTTGCAGACTTTTTCAAATTATAAAGCTCTTATTTTTTTATGCAACTAAGAAAATAAAAAAATCCAGCAAATAAGTTTCATCTTTGTCACACTGACAGAAAATCACAAGTTGGGAAAAATTAAAAAACAAATCATTAATATTAAAAGGGAAGTTCCTCTTGATTTATTTAAGAATTGGGCACATGTTTGCTTGTCAACCTGTGCCACAGAGCTACAGCCACGCTCATGTGGAGTCACTGTTTTGCCATAACTGCTTTGCTTTTCCACTGGAGGGAGGAAGCCATCCCATTCCAATTCTTGTTTATACCCCACACTTTCAATCGAGGTGCCTTCCACAGCTGTAAGTGAGACTTCCCTGGGAGTCACACTTGATAGTTAAGGGTTAGTACTTAGGGGGTGCTTTGGGATTCAACATCAATTAATTCTGCTAGTTGCAAATCAAATCAACAATGTGATAACGGCCAATTACAGCTTCTACTGCTGCTGTAATTAGCTAAAAGCTCTACTTATTGGAGGCAGGTGCCACTTGGTTATTTACCCAATCTGCTAGAAGAATTGAAACTCTATATCTTTTGTTTTAACACTTTCCACAGGAGCCTTTCCAGATGATTCTTTGGAGTAAAATTCAACTACATGTATTAGTGTGGCTTATGTCCGTTAGATCTTCGTATGAATTGGAAATGTTTCATCAGTTTGGAAGGAAATCCACAATTTTCTTTAATCCATATTTTCTCCTGTATTTATTTGTGTGCTACCCAGAGACACTTGAAAATTAGGACTTAATATAGTTGAAATTCATTCCATAAGTAACTTAGAAATGATCTAGTTAGGTTTTAAAGGCTGAAGAAAGAGAGTGGAGCTATGGAAAGATCAATAAAGCTAATAATGTAATGATCTTAGCGCTGATAACTGGCTTGATTATTCATTTCATTTACCTGTCTAGTTCCATCCAGTTTCTCATCACCATTCATCTCTGTCACCTGCCACCATTTCTGTTTAACCTGCCTGCTATCAATCATCAGTTCATAACTATTTGAGCCTTTGGTGAGAATTCTCTAGCGTACCGGATTGTCTTCTGATTGCTTGATCCTGACCTGTTCTGCCTCTGAACCTCTGTGATTCACATGTTCGTGATCATCCTCTGTCAGATTTACGTGGTCACTAACCTGAGTTTTCCCCCTCCACAGATTCCTGACTTAGACTTCCTTGCAGTCACTGTAGATCCACTGTTTTTCAATAAACACTTTTTTAATAAATCTAACTGCCTGTCTGCCTTAATTACTGTGCCCTCTGTTCTGAGCCCTGACAGAATAATCTGGCCAAACATGGACCCATCAGCAGACAGACAGTGCCATTCGGGGATAGAAGAAAGTATATCTCAGCTCAAATTAGGCATGCAGGTTTCTTTTTTGTAGGCAAGAAGGATGGTTCTCTTAGACTTATACAGGGACAATTATAATCTATGCAGGGTCTCAGAGACCCTGCATAGATTATAAATGTTTCAATGATATCACGGTTAAGAACTGTTACACTACTCCTCTAATCAACTCTGCTATTGACCAGATTCTGGGAGAAAAGCTTTTTACTAAAATGGATCTCCATTGCGTACAAAACCTGCTGGTTGCCGTGGTCCTCTCAACATCAGATCTTTTTTTAAATTATCCACTAAATGGGCCATATAGTGAAGCTTAAAAGTATAATGTCCTTGCCTTAAATTATTTTAAAACGTACTTTTATAGAACAACAGAAAAGAGCACTTTCAACTTAATACTCTAAGTTCTGTAAGCGCTGACCTGGGAGCTGCTGCTGCCGCTGTCAGCTGTCAATCTCGAGAATGGACAAGTCTGCTCTAATGAATAGTCTGTAAAGAGGGAGGGGCGAGAACAACATCCAGGGACTTTGTTCATTCTCTGTCTTCTTGTTCTTGTGAATTGGAACAATACTAGGGCTGAGACTGATGATGGTTTTTGGAGTAGACGAGCACATGAGAGCACACAAGAACACATATTGAAAAACATCCTCTGTCTTTTTTCAGGACCTGGTTAAGCTACAAGGCTTGACTAACTGCATGGAGCGAGACTAACACTGTATTCTGCTCCATACAAAACAGTGTTCATATTGGATCATACAAAAAAACAGAAAGAAAGCCTCAAAAGGGCAAGATTTATATACAAAACCTAAACCTGTACATGGAATTATGTTTTGTTCTTATAAATTATTTTTATAATGTTTTTTGTTGTTGGCATTCATATAAATATACTGGTGTGATAACTAAGTATATATTTGAATGATTTTTGGTATACCTCTTTTTTTTTTTTTTTACAGTGTCCTGTCTGGCAATGTGGCAATAAGAATAATTGTCATGATGCCAAAGAGAGCCCAACAGATTTTGCTTTCACAAGTGGAGCAGTACAGCTTATTGCCACAGTGTTCCGCGTGATGTATGCAAATAAATAGCTTTATTATAATTAAGGCGGGGAGTATTACATAATTTTTGGACACTGCAATGTAAGTAGAACAGGAAAGGAACAAAAAGGAGAAAATATGAAAGAAAGAGGAGATAAAAGAGGAATAAAAGAGAGATAAAGATAAAACATCTTCAGTCTGCTTCATCACCTGCAAAGAGATGTAAAAAGGACAGCACAACCAACGGCTGTAGTATAAGATATACAATAAAGTAACACCTTAATACTATCACTGAAGCATAAGTAGTATTATTTAATCTGACATGTATACTGTGGTAGCTGAAAATAAGAATATGGGCTTTCTGTATGGAAGTGAATCTCTAAATACCTGGAGCCAAGCATATGTAGTTGTTTGTGAGAGTGCACTTGTGCATGTAAAGGATATGGAAAAATGCTCAATAGTGGTGGGGCCAACCCAGGAAATCCGACCCCCCACCAAGGGAGGAGGAGAGACGGCCCTGAGGAAAACCCCCCAGCCACTGCAATGCTGGATCCCCAGGACAGGCGGGGGCGCTCGAGACGCACGGCGGGAATGGGCTGAGACTTGAGATGTTCTTGGGAGAGGGAGCAGTAAGGGTTAGGTAACCTGACTAGTTTTCCTCAGGAAGAATATTTTCATGTACTTCATGTAGGTAAATCTTTCAACTGATTTGCCAGCAGTCAAATGTCTTATGGAAAAGCAATGATGAGATGGGCGTGATTGTTGATCTTGAGTCTTTTTCAAAGGCAAAAATTACACTGAAACATAGGACTTAAAATAACCAGCTGTCTACTTGGACTTTGTCAGCTTATCAATGATCCACAATACTTGAAGATTTAAAAAAGCAGCGTTTCAAGACAGGTACTTTAACTGCATACTCATTTTACCACATAGAATGGAAATTAATGTTTGGTGTTTACTCTCTGCTCATGTCAGTTATTTGTGTTTTTGCTCTTTAGCAAAAGAAACCTGAAAGCACATAAATAAACTAAATTACTTTTCCCACAAGATCTAAAATATTATTTTGGTTGTAAAAAGAAAAAGAAAACAAAAGCTCTTTAAAAATGAAGAATAGCCTCCTTGGACAACTTATTCTACTCGCCTTCATAAGCATAATGGCATCTGGGTCGAGACAATACTTTGTCTTCAACCATGGGTTGAAATGGAACGAAGCAAAACTCTACTGTCAGAGGTAAGATGTTTAACCTTGTTCGGTGAAAGTATGAATGGATTAATTATCAATATGTACATTTGGTTAAAAATTGTAAATAAAAAACGAAAAAAAAGAAAGATAGTTTAATGTTGCTTTGATAAAAGAAAATCATTATGGGAGTTTAGAAACTAAAACAAAACAATGAGCCAGCTAGGAAAGAACAGCTAGAAGAACAAAGGTGAAACAATTTAGATGTAAAATGTATTATTTTACCTAGCAGTGTTATCTAATGGAAGAATTAATTAGATAACCTTGGTTTTCTTGTCTTTATAATTTCTTATCTTCAGTTAATATAGAACAAGAAACTGAAAAAAGAAACAAGCTTGTTCTGATATTTGGGTCTGACTGTAGCTACTTGCAGAGATGGGAAGTAACGAAGTACAAATACTTCGTTACTGTACTCAAGTAGATTTTTCTGATATTTTTACTTTACTTTACTACTTATTTTTATGGCGACTTTTTACTTCTACTCCTTACATTTTTACACAAATATCTGTACTTTCTACTCCTTACATTTTAAAAAATTGGCTCGTTACTTTAGTTTTGAATCATTTCAATGGAGTTACCGTTATTATTTTTCACGTCATCAATACTGTGAAAACGGAGCAGTTTTCCCCCTCTGTTCCCAAAGTGTAGCCGCCGTCTATCACACACAGCGTCACATCCTTCACTACATTTCCCAGCATGCACCACAGACCGGCCGTCATAGCGGCGGCAGTTCCAAACAATTCACCCGGTAATTTACACTAGTTCCGAAATTACAACGTCACCTTTCATTCAACACTTTACTTACTCACCAGCGTAGCAAACTCTGAAGGTAACCACTGCGACAGCTTTAATATACATTCCGTAGTCGGCAATAAAACTTACCAGTCAAATTACACATTCTCTTCCCTTAGTCCGTCAGCATACTGGTCCGTGTGGAAACACGTACCGCATCGGAGCCAGTCTCTTATCCATTGTCCCAGGGCATTGGAAAAGACTATTAGGGGGCAGGGGTGTTAAGTGGGATTTCAATGTATGTAATAATTGTTTGCATGGTAATAAGTAGGTGAAATGGTAATGTTAGTATGGTTAAATTATTTCATAAATATGTATGTTTTTGTATGAATGATGCTATTGTCTGTACTTATTTTTCTACAATGTTAACTGTGCTTTATTAGCGATTTGCCTTCCTGTTTAGTTGGGCTGTCCCAATTGGCTGATTATTGGTGGGTCTATTTAATGAGCACACTCCCAATGGCTTAGGGGGCTGCTTGGAGAGACTGGTTGGAGAAACTGCTTTTGAAGGTCTGCTTAGAGAGACTATATTTAAAGTCAGCTTGCTGTGAGGCTGTCAGTGTTTTGTATTGCCTGCAATGGCCGGTTTTGTTTTCTTTATTTGTAAGTATTTTGTTTGTTTTGTTTTTTTTGTCTTCACCGTTGCACCAGTAAATAAACCGCTACACGCTTTTGAACTGGAATTTTGTTGTCCGCTGGTTCTTACCACCTTTTTGCAAGTCATCTGCTTACTCCTCCTCTGATGTGAGATGGGAGCTGGCGAGCCGTTTTCTCACAAATACCAAATTCAGTCTAATTGGATGGGAATCTACGTTGCATTTGACGCACCACTACAAGATGAATCGACAGATTCGGCAGTATTCATTCGCGGCAAATCATTGCAGCTTGGTGGCGGTGGCGTTAGCATAGTATTATGGACAACGAGATGATTGAAAATGAACACAATTGAGATTTAGTCCTATTGGCAGACATCCATTTAAAATGTAGGCAACGGCATGAAAAAAGTGGATTCTACTTTTACTTTTATACTTTAAGTAAATTTACAAGCCTGTACTTTGTTACTTTTACTTGAGTAAAGAAGTTTAATCAGTACTTCCACTTTTACCAGAGTATTTTTTAACACAAGTATCTGTACTTTTACTTAAGTATGGAAAGTGAGTACTTTTGCCATCTCTGGCTACTTGTCGTCATAAGCAACTAAATAGTGACGTTTCAGTACACTGAAAAAAACAGCTCATTAGATTTACTTAAAAAAATATATTGTAAGTATTTGCATACAAAGGATTTGAGTAAAATTTAATGCTGCAATGTCAAGTAACACTCACTTGCCAGTATCAAGTGAATTTTACTTCACTTTCCATAAGTCAAAACAGTTGTGAGGATATTAAATAGCATTTACTTAATTACATCGAAGATTTAAGTTAGATTTATTTAAACAAATGAAGTAAAATGAACTGTTTTTCATAGGCACAAACATAATTTTACTCAAAATCTTAAAGCAACACAAAAACAAACAACCATTCACGCACACACTCACACCTAAGGAGAAATAAGGGAAGCCATTTAACCAAGCAATCATGTTTTTGGACTGTGGGAGGAATATGGAATAGAGAACTCATGCATGCAGAGGGAGAACATGCAAACTCCATGCAGAAAGACCCAGGGAATCAAACACAGAACCTTCTTGCTGCAAAGCGGGAGTGCTACAAACTGTGCAGCCCTCTAACTGGAATCGTACTTTTTCAATACACAATAAAAATTGTACAACCCTCTGAAACTGAGAGTTTCAACATTTGTTACAGAAATATACTCATATGTCAGATCAAGAATATTTAACTTACACAAGCATGCTCAAAACAACTTCTAGGTGAGGGTCAGTAAAGAAACAGCCACTTAAACTTTGAACAGTGGTGTAAATATTATGTATTCCTCTATTTAAATGAAAAAAGCATGTACAAATATAGTATTATTAGTAAAAATGCATTATGTTGTACTACAGACTGTATTACAGACTCGGAGCAACATCAGTTCTGCTGTGAGCTAAAGTGTCTTTGCTCTGTGCGTGCATTTCAACACGCTACGTTATTAGAGTAAAGTTTATGTAGTACTTTTAGGTTTATGTGCATACTGCTATTAATCCTCTGACCTGGGAGCAGGCTCGGAGCTTGTCTGCCTGGCTGTGTGTTTCCTGGACGGGGCCGCCTTTTACAGCTGCTTTTTGTGTCTCTGCTTCTGTCTCCTTGAACCAGTGGCGGCCGGCCCATAGGGGGCGCTGGGGCACCGCCCTCCCTGATAAGAAGAGAGAAAAGTAAAATATATTTTTTGAAATTAACTCATAAATGTCAGTTTTACTCTCTAGAGTGTGTACCTATAAGCAAAACAAATTATATAAACTACATTTCCCTATCTACTGTCATTCATTTGTGGATTTCCACAGACAGGCTCCTACCGTCTCTGTTCTGGGGGCGCTGATCAGACAGCCCCACATTTGCAGAGAATCTGTCAATCATGTACTATTGCTAGGTGAATTTAATGGCCAATCAGCGTCCCAGAACTTTATGGTCTTGGGGCTCTGAAAATACTGCGCTTTAACAGGCATCTGCACCCAAGCGCAGGTGCAGACAATTAGATGGAAGATGGCGAGCGTAACGAGCGAGATGCAGCTTCCACCAAATTCCGTGAGATGCTTATTTATCTACCCGTTTGCCAGAAGAACATCCCTGTTGTAGGGTAGGAAAATTTCATGCCATGGTTATTGTGACTGTGACGAATCCACCTCGTCGCTTAAAACTTTGCGTGCCACACACACATTCCTGTTATACTGTGTTTGTGAGGACCAATACACTCGCGCTGAGCCCAATAGCTCCATTAACTTAAAACACACAAGCTGTTCCTGGTTACCTGCTGGAGTATTGAGGGTGCACACTTAATATTTCAGTGGGGTTATCCGTGTGTGTGTGTGTGTGTGTGGGTGTGTGTGTGTGTGTGTGTGTGTGTGTGTGTGTGTGTGTGTGTGTACGTGTTTATGCTACGGGGACTTGTCATCTTCAGTCTGGCTGCGTCTTTGCTGGGTTCAAACCCAGTTTGGTGTACTGTAATTGAATAAGTCAATGAATCTGTGTAAAAGAATTAAGTTGTAAAAATTATTTGTTTTTGTACATCAATTGTTTGTGGAGGTAATATATGGACAAAACAGATTTATGAGAAGAAATCAGAAATAAGAGAGCCTGAGGTGAGGGGCTTAAACTATTTAATGAGGGCTGTGGGAAGAAGAGCGAACATTTCTGTTTTCTGTTTCTTTGTTACATTGCTGGTAACTGGAGGGAGGCTGAGGCCCAGAGTATCTTGTATATGTTTAGTTTCTTTTGCACCCTGTTTTGAGTTTTTGAGCACAATAAATCACCAACACAGGTAACCCGACTGAGCCTGGATTCTTGGAGGCCAAAGAACCCCGTCACAGTGACCCAAATCGTCACTGTCACTCTTATTTTATAGTAAATTAAATCATTACTGTTAAATTGTATGTATTGTCCAATTGTTTATTTGAATCCTTATTCCGGATTAGTTGGAGACATACACTAGGCTATATCAGCCCCACCAAAAATATTTTTCACCAGCTGCCACTGCCTTGAACCCCAGTCGGCTTCAGCAGATGGCCGCTCACACTGAGCCTGGTTCTGCTTGAATATTCTTCCTGTTAAAAGGGAATTTTTCCTCTCCACTGTCGCTACAAGCATGCTTAGTGTGAGGGATTGCATTTGAGTCAATAAGTCGATGCGATCAACTGGGTTTCTTTAGATAGAAAACTTTGAATTTGACTGTATGATCTGGTGCACTGTAAAGTGCCTTCAGATGACATGTGTTGTGAATTGGCACTATAGAAATAAACTGAATTGAATTGAATTACACATTTGAATAGTTTAAGGAAATCTAAGTAAAACTTACTCTTTCCCAAAAATTCATTTATACATTAAAAAAAGGTTTAATTTTACTTCAGAAACTCTAGTTTTTACTGAAGCTTGAAAATACAGAGTAGAGATTATGACGAATACTCTAATAGAGTTTACTGCACCAAAAAGTAACTTTTTTCAGTGTACAAAAGTAGATAAGTTGCCGCCCCTTTTGTCAATGTACTGCAAATCTACCAAATTAAACTTGTTTTCTTTTCTTAAAAGCCATTACACCGACCTGGCCTCCTTTATCACCAAGTCCGATGTGGACAGTATTGACTTGAAGCCATATCTGGTGTGGATTGGCCTTTACAGATACTGGAAGTGGGGTTGGTCTGACGGAGTCTATCGTTCCATAAACTGGGACTGGAGCAATCGAAATTGGTGGGGAGGTTGTGCTGCCATCCAGTTTAATAACAAAAAGTAATGTGAGAGCTTTTCCCAGACAATATGAGCTTTGAATAACTTAGATTTTAGTTAAAATGCTGTTATTTAGGTTGCCATCTATCAACACCCAGTTACTCTTATTGGGTTTTAATTTTTCTGAATCTCTATTTTTTTTTATTGTTGCAGGAAAGATCCTTACAATCTAAGAATAAAAAACATTATTTCTTTTTATGTAATTGTTATTATCCAACTTTAGGAAGACTATGAAGACTCTATGAAATGTGCATTAATTTGACATTTAAGATTTAACACAAAACTTGTTTCTGATAAAATCTTACTTTTTAAATTTAAATTCTCCATCCAGTTTTCTACAGAAAATGATGTAGCTGGTAAAAAAAAGCAGATAATGCTCAATGTATTATCATTGTAATATAATGTCATTAGTGGTTTAGCTGTAATATGGTTGTTTCTTTCCAATCTAAAAAAGGAGACAGATGTCAATAAATTGCAGATGATTTAAACCATCCACCAAACTTTTACCGAAAGAAAAAGTCACATTTGTAATGCCAATGTGCTGAAATCCTATTGAGTATATACTTTTTTGTACATTGATAATCTACTTTGGTGTATAAAGATTAGTGTTATATTATTTTTTTTCTTTGTTTTCTCTAAAGAGTTTATCCCCTAAGTTGTGAAACTTATCTGATGTCTGTGTGTCGGAATACAACTACCAATACGTTCGTAAAGGAAGGAAAGACTTGGGATCAGGCATTAGACTACTGCCGCGATCACTATGATGATTTGGCCACTTTCACAAAGGACGAAATGAATGACATTTTCACCGAGTTCGACTTTCCCATCTGGATTGGAATGCAAAAACAAGGTAATGACCATAGTTACAACCCATAATGATTAAAATGATTATTGCTAATATGATGTCACCACATATGGTTAAACATATTTACTTAAAGACCTATCACTAATCTGGCAAAAATTTGAACCATGAGTGAGAAGAATGCAGTGTTTCCGTGGTTCACTAAAAATAATTAAATTATTATTTCTAAATGAATGCCTTAATTGGCCTTAATTTAGAAATAATCTAATCTAAGAGCATTAAAAAGCATTAAATTAGAGTTCCTCATTCCTGTATAAACCCTGCTTAAGTTTGAACTGTGGGCAAGAGACCCTCTTTGTCACCCTCCTGGTCCCCCTGCCAGTACATGTTTCATGTTCATGTACATTGCATAGGAAATAAGAGAATTGGTAATAGCAGTACTTCACACATCTTAATGTCACAGATAAACTGGTATGAAAGCATAAATTAAAACACAGATATGAATTAATAAACATTTAAGGGTCACTTGTCTAGCAGAACTACAACTGGTTTTGAGTCCCGATCTAGTCCAAGGTGGTCCTGCAAAGGACTGTACTGGAATAAGATGTTCCAAGATTTATACAGGATTAGCTTAATTCACTAATTAGTTCATTCATGCACATTTTCATAAACTGACAGTGGTAAGCTTCGTTTTGGCCCCGACTGACCTCGGGCAGACTGACATTTGATGTGTCCTGCCCAAGGACACAACTGAGAGGGTACAGGGTTTAAGTCTTCAGCTCATAATAGGTCGGACTTTAGACAATTGTTTTATCTGAGAAGGACTTTGGTTGTTAACTTCTGTATAGGTTTTAAATGGAAACTTATCCAAATTTGTTGTTTATTTGCAACTTTCTGTGGGAAATTTACCTATTTTAAGTGATGTTAATGTATTTGTCACTCACGTGGGACTAGAAAAACCTAACACAGGGTTAAGATGGGTCATTGATTTGCATCTTGCATCTCCAAGTGCTTAAAGCCATCCTCTTCCAACCACGGATTGTGCCAACATAATTGACAAATAGTCTTGAATAGGTTTGACAGGTGTTTAGAAAAAAACAAAACAAAACAAAAACAAGCAGAGGTCTGGTTGCCTCACTTTTAAACATATTTTGTGCTTTAATGATATGGCACACATATAGAATGGACATGTGACTCTCCTACAGACTAGAAGAAGATAACCAGCTCTTCAATGGGCAAAAGATTGTATATCAGGTAACATAGAGGGGGACTAGATTAGAAGTCGATAACTTAAATGAAGACTTTAAAGCTAAGACTCAACAACCGTTGTCCAGAATGTGCCGGTGTACCTTGTGCTGACATTTGGCCAAATCCTGAAGAAATAATAAAGAGATACAAGTATTAGCACTCAGTGCTCCATATGATACAGTCAATCACAATATGCCTTAAGAAAGGCTTAAAAATACTATAGGAATTAAGGGAACAGCACTAGGTTGGTTTAAATCTTATTTGTCAAGAAATTCCGATGAAGCTGACCTATTAAATAGAATACAGGCATGTTTTGAAGATATAAAAAACCTTGATTGCTATAAATGTTTTGCTTTTTTAAATAACTCAAGACAGATATATTTTGTTTAGACCAGAGTTTTTTTTTAATAAGGAGCTGCTCTGTCAGTCACTAGGTCTTAATGGCATTAAATTGGCATCTAGACTTGTCATTAACATCCCATATTAACCAGGTTAAATTAATTTCCAGAATATTGAAAAAATATGAAATATTTTGTGCGAGGTTTATGCTGAGATATTTTGAACGGCAAAAACTAACATAATAAAGATTAAATTCAGAAACAAATTAATGCCTCATATTGTTTTAATTGCATTTTTTTATTTAATCACTTATTTATTAATTTGTATATTTTTCTATTTGTTTACTCATTTATTTATCATTTATCACCACAGAGTCCACCTTGTCACCCCAATACAATATTGAAATGAGAAAAAATGAATTTAGTTTATTTCCCTTATTCTCTAATAACCTGCTGCAGCAGGGAAGATTCAGGTATGGTACCTGCAATGTGTGTCACACAAAAGTGTCACATATTCGGAATTATAATCAAAATATCTCAAATTTAATTCTGACTCGTCAATATTACTATTTAGATATCCAAATTATGAAATAGCCACCTAGTGCTGTCACTAAGCTGTCAAAACATGTGCCTTCAGAATTCTGGGCATTGGCTCTTCTCGAAAAAGTTGCTTTAAAACACAAGCACAATATAGAAAGAACTTAACACTATGGGATGTGCGGAGAGCACGAACTTTGTGAACTCGAAGACTGCTTCAAAAATCTGTGGTCAATTGCTGTGGGAAAGTTAGTTTGAACCGGAAATTCAAGCTCTGCTGAGTAAGCAGCACCTATCTCACCGTCAATGCGATTCCGGAGCTCAGACTTTGGCCAGCTGCACTCTGTTGCTTCCTCTTCTCACCGTTGGTGGTTCTATTATAGAACCGTCAACAAATTTACGAACCAAACACTCATAAGAAATAAAAATAAATATATTTCTTATCTTATGAACAATCGAAACAAATCTAAATTTAATTTATTTGTCAAAATTCAGATTTCTTTTCTCAATAGCTCTATGTAATGTGAACCACTGACCCAAAATCTGTTGGAAATGGCTCTACTACGTTGGACATATAAGGCACACTCGTTTTTTCTTCCATTTTAAGCCTTCTCATATTGTTTTTAGGAATTTTTAAAATAGCAAAATTACTGTTTTCTTCATTAGCTTTAGGTCATGTGAACCAAAACCACCCACTCAAAATCTGTTTAAAACTACTCTACTAGATGAGACAGATGAGTCTAGCCCCTAATGCTATTCAGAGAAAGCACAAAAAAAATAAAGTTAATTTTTAACATGCTTAGCAGTATTGTAAAAGATACATTCTCTTCTCCTTTCACCCAGTAATGTGCACTTACTTGCCTGTAAGATAGATAGATAGATCGATAGATAGATAGATAGATAGATAGATAGATAGATAGATAGATAGATAGATAGATAGATAGATAGATAGATAGATAGAAATAATAATAATAATAATAATAATAATAATAATACATTTTATTTGTATTGCACTTTACATTTCAACAAAATCTCAAAGTGCTACAAAATTCATAGTTAAAACAAAACCGTACAATAAAAACAGCAAACATAGTTAAAACGAGACATTGCAATAAAATAACATACGTAGTAAAAACAAAACAGTAAAATAACCATAAAATCACACAGATAAAGTACTAACTAATGTTCAAAGGCCATTTTAAATAAAAATGTCTTGAGGCCTTTCTTGAACGCCTCCACACTTTGTGGGGCCCTAAGGGACTCTCGGAGGCCATTCCAGAGTTGTGGGAGGGAGGGAGAGAGAGAGAGAGAGAGAGATAGAAGCTCTAATAGGCTGGAGATGTGAGGCACACTCATTTTTCCTTCAATTTTAAGCCATTTTTAAGAATTTTTAAAGTAGCAAAGTTAAAGTTTTTCTTCAACAACTTTAGGTGATGTGAACCAAAACCACTCACTCAAAATCTGTTTATAACTATTCTACCAGATGAGACAGATGATGCTCACCCTTAATGCTATTGACAGTCACACCATATTCATCCGATGTACTGCCCAATAATATGCATCTGTGGAAGGATCCAGAACTCTAAAACTACAGCAAGCTTTGGAATTCATTAGTTTTTTCTTTTCTTTAAATATTTTCCATTTTATCATTAATCATGAGGCACATAAATAGGATAGCATGGATATATTTCCTTTCATTACATTAGACACAGACCATCAGCTTCTTAGTGAGCTTAAGCTTTTCTTTCTGTTTTAGATTCGAGCTTAAATGCATACTATGTAAACTGGACGGAAACTGGGCCAAGTGGAGAAGGTGATTGTGTGACCATCTCCTCACTGACCAAGCTGATGGATACAAAGAAATGTGACACTCGTCTTCCCTTCATCTGTTTCTGGAATGGAAATAAAAATTTTCTACTGGTAAAGGAGAAGAAGAGCTGGGAGGAGGCCCTGGAACACTGCCGCAGCCTGAATGATATTGGACTTCAGTTCGATTTAGTCAGTGTGGAGTCTGAAGACGATTATGCGAACATGATGAGCAAGGTCATGGAAGCCAACACAGATGAAGTGAGTTTAGTAGGGAAAAAATGGGGTGGCCAAGGGGTGCAAACAGGATGTGTATACATGATTTCCCAGCAAGTTTATACTTAGACAACCTTTATTGTCATGTTTTATACAAAGGGTGTATACAGAACGAAATTTTGATGCTCATATCTTTTCAACAGTGAATGAGCAACTTACTTGAAATGAACATTAAACGATCATGCAAACTCATAAATTAGACTAGCAAATAAAAAAAAACGAGCAAGCAAATAAATGAGACCAAAATGGAACCACCAAAACACAGGCCAAGGACAAATGCTGAGCAAGATTGATACATGTAGATTGAATCCTGCATGGTATCAATCTGGGAAGCCTCCTGTAGAACATGTTCACAATATTGACGAAAATTTAGTAAAATTCTTCAAGCAGATTGGGTACCTGCCTCCCATGTCAAGTTTTTAGTCAATCACAGCAGCAGCAGCAGCTGAGAAATATCACATTCTTGATTAGTGTCAAGGATTTAACTGATCAATCATTCTCTTACAAAATCAATTGTAGTCCTGTTTATCTAATGCTTCATGGGCCCGCCTGTGGACCTGCTTTACAGTTGCCTTTTTATCTCTGCTGCTTTTTCTGTCTATGTCTATGCTTTTTTTTCTTTAAACCCCAGTCGGTCTCTACAGATGGCCACTCACCCTGAGCTGGTTTCTTTCTGAGGTTTTTCCTGTTAAAAGGGAGTTTTTCTTCTTCACTGTCGCTTCAAGCTTGGTGCCTTGAGTCAATGAGTCGATGCAATCAACTGGTTTTCCTTAGATATGGATTGATTGACTTTATTGATCTCACAGTGGAGAAATGTACTTGTTACGTCAGCTCAAATTGTCAAAGAAGAAGGATGTGCCAAAGGAAGAAAAAGGTGCATGAGATATAGGGATGGGAATCGAAAACCAGTTCCGTGTGTTCCAATTCCATGGCAACTTTTGGCAGCTCGCTTAACGATTCTTAACGGTTCTAGGCAGCACCAGAGCCTAGCGCTGGGCAGCACGACTTACGTCATGTTTGTAACTCAAGTTACCCGCACGGCATTTGGTAAGCAAGTATGATGTGTCCAGGTGTAAGTCTAGAAAAGCGAAACAGAAAAAATGTTGTCCCATGGGGTAAAGCAATCGAAAGTTTGGCTTCATTTTAAGGAAGAGAAAGATGGCAACAAGGCTCTTTCCAATAATTGCAAATTGCTTCCGGACAGAAGCTAAAGTTACGACCAGCATGGAAGGCAACTCTGGTAAGTAGTAAGTAGCTAGTTTTATATCACTGGCTGTGCTTAATGTGGTTCCTTGTAAATCATATGCCATTTCTGGAAATAAACCAATTTCCTACCTCTCTTTGGGGTTATTAAACATGTTACGAAGTTGCTCCGCAGTTCAGGGAGCGAGAGAAAGGTGACGCTTGTTTATTTAAAACCGATTGGAGATGAGTTTATTTCCCGAAATTGTACAGTAATGCTTTTTTATTAAAAGGATGCCTTCTCCATTAGATTTAGATGACTGTGACGAGACAGGTAGCCTGGCTGGCTCAGAGGCTGGCAGCTCCCGTTCACTGCCTTCTGTTTTCACCGAGGCAGGCAGAAATAGAATGTCCCAGGCGAAAGTAGACGAATGTCACCATGCAGTTACCAAGTTCATTGTTTCACAGAATCGATAAGAGAATCGGAATCGTGAAAATCTTATCAATTCCTAACCCTAATGGGATGTATACATATAAGTTTTTTTTTTTAACAGTAGGATCATTATACCGCATCATTGCACAGAGTGTTTACGTGGATATTCATATGGATGCATATTAATATTTATATATATAGCTATTGCACTGGGTGTCAAATATAGCGAAGAAAAGATTTAACCATAGCAAATGTCTGTCCAACTTAAAATTAACTTCAACGCAGTGTAAATAGGTTCGTTTCCATAAGCTTTTTGTAATGCGCATTTTAAGTATCCAATCAGAAAATCAAGCAGTGCTACTCATGCGCCACTGTTCTCACTCAAATTCACGAAAAATATTTATGCTCACCTGGATTGCAGCCTCTACTTGTCAGGAGCTCAGAGGATTGGACCCAGAATTCAGACGAGACAGACAGTGATAACTTCAAAGGCGTTTATTGAAAAAAGCTGTGTGCGGCTGCTCATCAGCTGGGGTGGGAACACTGGATACGCTGTGGGGATGTAGACTCAGATCAGTTCCTTATGAAGCTCAAATGGGAAACAACAATGAGCTGAAAGTCAACAACCTGGCAAAGTTCAGTCTGTGCCCAGAAGAAGTCACGTCCAGAGGAGTGGAAATCCTGAAACTGAGCCTGTACCAGAGAGGAGTAGCGATCAGCAGCAGCCAGAGCACACAGAGAAAACGAGGGATCCAGGATGGATTATCCAAGCCGTGGTCAAAAGACAGGTTCAAGGTCGGCAACAGGTAAAATTCAGAACAAGGGCGTTCAAAACTCAGAAGTCCAGGGGCAGAAACAGGTCAACATCAGGCGGAAAAAACCTATACAGAGAAACGCTCAAATTAGTCTAGCTCGAAGCTAGAATATTCTGGCACCATGGGCTGGGAACCAGTGGCATAAATAGCAGAAGAAACAGGTGGATCTGATAAGAGATAATTAGGCCGGGGAGGAGCAAAGCAGAGAGAGGAGGAAGAGTAACCCAGCCTATGGTGCCAAGATCATGACACTACTTCCTGTTTATTACAGTCATGTGTGATGACGTTATGTGGAGTATGGCATATAATGACATCAGACTTTGCAGTGCTTGGTTAATCCCCGTTAAACCTCATGGAAACACATCAAATAAGCTTTTAAATTTTTTCGCTCTTTAAAAAAAGTTGGACACAGCTACAACAACTCCAAGCTTTAAGTTATTCCTGTAAACAAGGAGAGAATGTTGCAGACAAAATATTTTGCAGCAACCTGGTTCTACAAGTAGCTTAACGTACTTAACTTTGAAAAGTATTACAAGTTCTTTCCCCAGCCTCCAGGAACAACCCTTGTGAGATCTACCTAACGTTGCAATCTCTACCTGGTCCATGGAAAGAAGAATTGAAGTGTAGACTGCAAGTCTATACAGCAAGCACAGTAGGAGGTCTCAGGGTGTCCTTTGTTAGGCTCAAACTCCTTCTTTGGCTGAATCCGTCAGGGGGGGTTGCAGCTGTCTGCAATGCAACGTAACCTGCATCTGCATTTTATCATTGTGCAAAATTTAAATCAAGGCTTAGGGAATTACACATAAAAAATCAGTAATACATATAAAGTCACATTTAAGTAGTAAAGTCCACATTTGTACAAACACCTTAGAGAGGCACCTTTCAAATGCAATTTTAGCGGTAAGACTTTTTGGATAAGTCTTCATCAGTTTTGCACACCTAAAGGCAAGGCCAGCCCTAACCAATTTGAGGTCCTAGGCAAGATTTAGTTTGTGCCCTCCCTGCATTACAGTAATACCAGTTTATATAATAACACACAAAAAAATAAATAAATAGGATTGTCTTTGACTTTTTTTTTTATATAATGAAGAAAAATGAAAACAGATTGAAATAACATTGAAACCAATTAAATTAGATAATAAAGTCAAAATTAAAAATAAATAATACAAACTTGTAATTTGATGCTGCTTTACCAGGTTGTTCTGAGGTGGACGCAATAGGAGTAGGATTTTTTGATTTTCATGAAGCTGTGAAGGCTAAAGATGGTCCTGCATTGGTGAGATTTTTAAAAAATGTATCAGCCTGCACCCGTAGAGTTCAGAACCGAGATTCGGCCCATTATCAGCATTATTCTCATTTAAAACCCGGGACCACATAGACCTGTAAATAATAAAGTATGACCCCACCTGTGATCACAAACTGTAAACACAGCAATTTCAGTTCTTTTTACTTTTTCTTTACAGTGTCCTGTTTGGCAATGTGGCAATAAGAATAATTGTCTTGATGCCAAAAAGAGCCCAACAGGTTTTGCCTTCAAGTGGAGCTGTGGGGCTATCGCCACAGTCTTCCGCTTGATTTATGCATATAAATAGCTTTATTATAATTCATGCAGGAAGTATTACAGATTATATGGACACTACAATGTAAGTAGAACAGGAAAGGAAAAACAGAAAAAAATTAAAAAGAAGAGATGAAAGAAAGAGGAGATAAAAGGGGAGATAAAGACAAAACAAAGAGATATAAAAAGAACAGCACAACCAACGTATATAGTATAAGAGATACTATAAAGTAACACCTTGATACTATCGCTGAAGTATAAGTAGTATTATTGAATCTGACATGTATACTGTGGTAGCTGAAGATCAGAATATGGGTGTTCTGCATGCAAGTGAATCTTTAAGTACCTGGAGCCAAAGCACCTGTAGTTGTTTGAGAGAGTGAACTTGTGCATGTAAAGTTTATCCTAAGGAAAAATGCGCAATAGTGGTTGTGAAGAGCTGAAGATGCGCCCCTCCAGAGCACGGAGGCGAGGAACTCAAAGTCCCAGACGCCCCAAGGGACCCCAAGAGCAAAGGTGACAAGGAGGGGTCAAGCCAGGAAATCCAACCCCCCACCAAGAGAGGAGGAGAGACGACCCCGAGGAAATCCCCCAGCCACCACAACTCAGGAGCTCCCGGGAGCCGCAGCGATGAGTCCGCGGGCTCCGCCGGCAGCCAGCCACCCCGAAGTGGTCATGGGCCCCAGGGACCCGAGGCTCAAGGGGAGCTCCACCCTCCGGCAGGAGGAGGATTAAACAACAATGGCCATCAAGGTGAAAAAGAGCGGGGATCCAGGTGGAAAAAGTGTCCCAGCGTTCTCGCACACCTTGCTCTTCTGGCTGGTCCATCTTTAAGAGTTGTGTTCCACAATGGTGGTCATACAAACAAACCAAGCCGGTAAGGTACTAAACAGGAAATATGCATAGTGTAGAGCAGATGTAAATTTGCTGTGGAAGTGTCTGTGGAAGGGGCAGTGGTATATCTGCGACACACACGCAGACGACCTAGTTTCTGTGTGAAAACCAGTCTATACTTATGAAGGGGAGGTTTGAGATGGGCCTTGTGAAGGAACAATTTGTCCAAGCTTCACTTTTTTAACAATAATTTGATGAGTGCTGCTTTTAAGGCCTGGGGAAAAAAACAATTGACATAAGGGATAGACTTATTGTTTGAATCAAATCAGACTCTAAAACAGGTAAAACTCTCAATAAAACCTGTGGGTGAAACATTAAGACAACAGGAAGAAGAGCTTAGCTACTGAACAGTTTTGCTATTTTTTGGCAACATTGGGGCATTGTAAGAGTTTATTCTAGTTTATTCAGTTTACTCTAAGAGTTTATTCTAATCCCTCACACCAACAGTTTATTCTAACTGGAGATTACTGGTACTGGAGTTGGTGTTGATGTGCTGACTGCTTAAAAATCTTTGCAAAATCATTGCAGGCATTTTTGATTGGATTTAATCAGCCAGGGAGATAGGAGGGTTTTTTAACCTGTCGACTGTAGCAAATAAGGCATGAGCATTGTTGATGTTTTTGTTGATAATCTCAGAGAAGAAAGATTCTCTTGCATCTTTTAGTAGTAAATTATATCTGTAAAATTTCTCTTTATGGATTTCAAAGGGAACCTTGAGTCCATTCTTTGTCATCTTCATTCAGCTTTTCTTAGGATACACGGTGGAAAGTGGAAGCAAAATGGTAAGCCTGGGTACAGTTATACATTTTTACATGATAACCGGCTTTCTTATAACATTTTTTTTTATTATTAGATAAATTGAAAGATGGTTTCAAAATAAATATAAAAAGGGTCTGATATGGCAACACCAATTACAAAAACATTAGAAATATTTAGACCTTTACTTATGACCAGGTCTAAAATATGTCCTTGATTGTGTTTAACATGTCGAGTCAAACCAAATCCTTTAAGTATATCACACATTTATTTTGCACGCCCGTCTTCAGGGCTATTAACAAGTAAATTATCGTCCCCCACAATAATTAAGTTGTCATGTACAATACTATCACAGATAAAAGTTCATAGAACTCCTTAAAGAAGTTTTTTTTGGACTCCAGAGGCTCATAAACTTTCAAAGAAATTGCTTGAGCTAGGGTGACCATGTTTTCATTAGGGAAAACCAGGACACCTTGGAGCGGGGGGTGGGGGGTGGATTGAAAGAACAAATGTCTCATCATCGGGATTTGCTCCGTGATCAGAGGAAATGTTACTTGTCACAGAACAGTGGTGAAAATGGGAAGTTCGGTTTAATATAATACAACTCTGTGAATAGTTCCGTCTGAAATGAATGAAAATAGTTGTTTTAATGGTTATTGAGTCAGATATGTGGCGGTAATGTTTGATTTATCTAAAGGTTTTTATCTGTTACTTTGTAAATGAGTTTGGATGTAATTTAAGGACAGATTCTAATATATCTGCAGAGTGGGGACTATAAATCTAGGAGTTTAATTTTTTTATTGTTGTTTTGCACAATATGCTTAACTAAGTATTTTTTGTTGTTGAATATTAGAGATTTTGCAGATATATTTTGTAGATACATTGTTTAGATTTACTTATAAATTTCTAACCCTTTTATAGAATAGAAAATCCCTTTATTGTCCCACAATGGGCAGATTTACAGCAGCAGAAAGATTATTGAAAATGGTCACACAAATGAGGACCTTAGAAAAATGTATAAGAATAACATAATAGGGAAGAGTTAAAATATAAAAAATAAAATTCTGTAAAGTGTTTTAACAATATAAAACTGGAGAATTAATAACCAATATGCAGCTATGGACATTTTTACAGTAATGGATATTTGAAAATAGCAGCAACATCAGAGATGTGCAAAATGACAGCAGCATGTTATTTAACTGACTAAGGTTTCTATCATTACATTTGATTCTATTTGTTCCTGCTCCCGGTGGTTGGAATCTTTATTCCACTCTGGATTCTTGTGAGTGTAGTCTTTGTTCACTTTAACTTTTAAAAAAATAAATAAATAAACAAACAGTTTTGAAAACCTCGGTATTCATTCTTTTCCTGCTTTGTGTGTCAACTTTCATGGTTGCTAAGCAACAGAGCATACGGCGGTAAAACCCGCCGAAGGGTGGACCTGTTCGAATTTACAGCCAAAACTCTTCCGGTCTCCTTATTTTCAAGGACTTCGAAGGATCCAGTCTAGGTAGACCGCGTCCTTGGAGGATGCAGCCCAGGTTTTCGAACAGAGCCCCTGATTAAGAACAGGTTTGCCCGCACTGACGCGGCTCAGGGATTCGGTCACATGGAGCGTCGTGCGCAGTGAAATCAGGACATTTCCTCACTTTCTAAAAAAAAAACCAGGAAGCCCGGGACAGGACGTGAAATACGGATATGTCCCGGGAAATACGGACGTTTGGTCACCCTACTTGAACAGGGCCTTGTACTTGGATAGCCAGAATACAGAAGATTCAAAGTCACAGAGGATCACTTTTCTTACCCTTTAGTGAATCATTAAACAGAGTAATGAGTCATCATCCTTTTTTATACAGTCTGCTCTGATGGAGAAAATTTTTATTTGGAGATGTGATCTCCAATAAAATTGACATCTAATTATTTTCATCTAGCCATCTACTTTTGGCCTCATCGTGCATCCTGTGTCGTGTAGTATACAGTGGGTAAAGAGGGCCGATTAGACTCTCATGACCACCTCCCGATCGGGAATCGTAAGGTCGGGAGAAAAACAAGCATGTTTGAAATACAGTAAACCCTCGTGAGGTGTTTATGAGCAAATCCAACTCTTGAAAAAGAGCTACGAGTGTCTATGAGCTGATTTATACCTGAACCTTGCACCCTGTACATGTGCAAACAAGTCTAACCATTGCAATTCCACGCTGCTTAGTCTGACATGTGGTTTTTGGACATTCACTGTGAGCAGTTTGATCGGATCAAAGCATCTGGCTGTATAATCACTTAACAAAAAAACCCATCACAACATTCTACTGCATTTTGCACCATATTTATGCATTGCACTAAATCTTTCAATTTCAATGCCTTTTGCACCATGACTTTTAAACCGGTTTCCTTTTCTCCTACACTGTTAACATTCTTTAATCACTGCTGAACTTTATAAATGGTAATGTTCATTTTATTTAACTGTTGTAAGCTGCTTATTCAATGTTGTAAGCAGTATGCATCAAAATTTCATTTTGTATACACTCTGTGTATATAAAATTACAATAAAGTTTGTCTAAGTCTAGGTCTAGGTCTAAGCATAGCACAGTGTAAGAACACATCTTGAGCTGTGAAATTTTAAACCCTGCGGTTTTCTCGTACAGTTTGAGGTTATGTTGAATGGACAGATTCAGCTTGGTGCTGTGGAGGGCTTGTTGGGGTCCAGTTGGAGGGGAGATACTTGTGTTGGGATTTCAAACCTGTTAGTTGGGATCTTAGGAGTGGTCACTGCTCTCCAAAGCACTGACGGATGTCAACAAAATGTGTTTCATAAGTGTTACTGAAACTTGTTGACGTGTATGTTTTGAAAGGGTAAACAAACCAAATGTCAGATCTTCTTTATCTTTTTTTTTCTTCTTTTTTTTGATCTTAAGATAAAACTCCTAATGATATTATTTGTTCTCGCAGGTGTGGACCGGTCTACGTTTCCTGGGTGATGAATGGCTGTGGGTGAATGGGGGAAACACATCAAACATTGAGATGCCTCAATGTCCAACCCAGGAGCAGCACTGTGGTGCATTATCAAAAACCAGCACTGGCAGTGTAGAGGCCAGACACTGTTCAGAGCCTAAAAACTTCCTTTGTTACAGTTTCAAGGCTTAATGTCATTGTTGTCATCACATCAGAAAGGCTACCTATAGATAGGCTCTCCAGGCAGTCAAATGTTTGCTTCTATTAATATTTTCATCTATGAATAAAGAAACAATAGTTTAATGATAATAGTAATACCGGTAGTTTAACTTGATTGATCTAACACTGTAGAAATGTAGCTCTTCATTTAACCCCATTCCCTTGGGGAGCATTGGGCTACCATTGTGCAGTGTCATGCTCAGAGACCCAGAGTGGAGGCTGTGCGGAGCAAACCGTGTACTTGCACCTTTCTCAGAGCACAAGCGCACTGCTCTAACCACTAGGCCAATACTCCCCTCAATAGAATTTAATGGATTATTTTCATTTATCTTATTTCAAAATGTATTTTGTTTCTTCAAATGAACTTTAGTAAAGATGTAGACAAACTATGTAAGCTTGAAAGGGAACTACACCATCTAAATTAAATTAAGTATGGTAACTTAATTTATTTTAATGTTATGGTAACCATGCTGTTTAAAACTTTGCTTGATTTTGTAATTAATAGCTGCAGTTGTAAAAGTTCAGCTTTTAGCCATATAAGAATACTATTTTGACTTTACTAAAAACTGTTTGTAAAGCTTTACTGTAACTGTTTTGCTGTAATGCAGCCATTATCTTTGGATTTATAAGGTTACACATAGATCTGCACTAAGTATCTGTAAACATCATTAAACTAATTAAACTAAACTTTGCTAAGAATGTGTAACTTGTGTAATACCCATTCTGATTTACAAACAGAAAATAAATGCTTAGGATTTGTGCCCAAACCACTTAGCATTGATCAATAAAATCATCGTCTGAAATTAACCATTTATATTTTCTCAGTTTTTCCTTTCTCCAATAATAGAGTAGATTTTTTTTACATTGATGTAATTGTGATAAAAAGTAAAGCAAATAATCTGTTTGAGAAAAAACACTGTATGGGGGAAGGTTTAACTCCCTAAAACCTTGTTTTGGAAGTTTTTGACGTCCCAATGGGAGGAGACTAGGAAGGACGCAGGTCTTCTGGATGGACTATATCCTGTCTGTCCTTGGTGACAGGGGTGTCCACCAATGGTGGGTTGCTGTTTCTGTGGGCCAAGAGATATGGGTTTCTCTCTGGTGGTCTACAGCCCCCAAAGGCCAGACTAGCCAAAGTCTATGGACGCTAAAATAAGCATTCCTATTTCTCAGGGGTCAGCTCCCAGCTAGGAATGATAATGTGCCCTACTTATATTGGTCCTTCTGTGTTCTAGGTGGAATAAGTCTGCCTGGTTTTTCAGGGGCTCTAGGGAAAGTTTTTTTTTTTTTTTTGCAAACTACCAGTGGTGTCAAAAGTACACACATTTGTTACTTAAGTAGAAGTATAGATACTGCAATTTCAAAACACTCAAGTAAAAGTTGAAGTATCAACTTGAACTCTTTACTCAAGTAAAAGTGAAAAAGTATGTGCTCCAAAACTACTTAAAGTATGAAAGCATAAAGTAACCTTAAAAAAAAACAGCCAGATGCCGTTATATGAATTGAAAGGTCAATTTTTTTACTATTTCGAAAAATTCTTTGAGATAGGGCCAAGGATGAGGGAGGTCTTGTTGGTCTCAGTCTCCATCTCCTGATACGCTCTCACCTGTGTCCGACTTTTCAGACATTTCAACATCTTTTTCTGAATCAGACATTGTAGCATGGCATAGACAATTCACGTTTGCAGTTTGAAGAACACCTGCTTACTTCTGATGATTTCCTTTAGCTAACCAATGAGTGTTTGCGTTATATGACTCATCCAATATGACTCATACACTAGCTTTCACTAGATGTGGATGGTGCCAATGATCTGCACTGGATGGTGCACATGACGTTAAATAAATATTTAAAAAAATTAAACCGAAAAAAAGAAACCTCCATTAGAACCAGGCTCAGTGTGAGCGGCCATCTGCCGGGGCCGACAGGGGTTCAACGAGACAGAAGCAAAATAAGTTATGTTGGCTGACTGCAACACATTCAGGAATGTAAGGTGAGTTGCTGTCTTCCCAAAGATGAAGTAACACAAACTTGTTATCCGACACAATAATGTCAATCCATTTATCCTGATCTCTCTTCAGGCCAATCCAGGCATAGTATTGTTGCCATTACAGGTCTTCCACATCTGCCTCTGAGTAGATGGTGGCCAGATCACTATAGTAGCTTTGGAGAGGAAGATGACAAAATGTACTCTTATCCATTTCTACTTTCACTGATGATAAATGCAGAGGTAAAACCATCTAAATGTAATACCAAGATAAAGGAAGATCATCACAGCAAACAGCAGGCTTTGATTGAAATGTAGATTAAACATGTGAGAACCTGGAACTTACTGGTTGATGATTTTCTTTATTCGGACCCCGCTGGTTTTTAATTGGTTACACCTTCTATAAGGGCTGAGCCCATGCACATCCCTGTATCGGCTCCTGAGAGGGAATGCCTATTAAACGTGTGTAAGAGCATGCACAAGCCTATTTCTCCTCATTTTAATAGCAGCGATGTGAAATGGAAATTTCTTGAAATAGAATGCCAAACTTTAGCTGTCAAGTAGAAACTTTGCAACTGAGGCATCAGTGGGAGGTCCGATCTGTGCTTTCAGTGTATGCCATTGCTTGAAAGAATTTCCCAAAAATACTTAGGTCTTATTTCGCTCTTCTGAGGCCTTTTTCTTATTTATATACACTTTGTAGACACTTTTTCTCTTACGACCCTCAATTTTCAAAGAACCGCAGTGAGGAAGCCGAGCTTCAATGAATTTCTGAAACCATAGCACACCGCACATAGACACCTGAAGGTGTGCATGCGCAGAAACATATCACCAGAATGACAAACATTAGGAGAACTATTTATTTTGATGACCCACCTGGAAAAAGAACATCCTCCACTATAACTTTAAACAGAATTGATTACTGGAACAGAGTCTATTATAGGCTTGCCTAAAAAGTCCATCAGACAGCTGCAGGTGATTAGTTCATTAGAACTGCCTTTGACTGTTGAAGTTAAATTCTTAATCGACGTATTATTAGTTTCAGGGGTCTATATCACGAAGCAGGTTTAACAAACTCTAAATTGATCTGGCCTAAGGTCGGGGACTGAGTTTTCAGTTTCACAACAGAGTTGTGAAAATGCTCTCAGACTTGAGCACGGGCGTAACAAGTATGAAAGGCCATTATCAGTGAAGCCCCGATTTGATGAGTCACCAGGACAACAGGCAACAGGAAGTGCCTATTTCACCCCACTGGAACTAGAGATTTGAATGAAGAAATGAATAAAAAAACTGAGAGTGTGTTTAAAAGATGGCACTACAGCTGCAAAGGAGAGGAAGAGGGTGTGGTAGAAGAATGCTGCTCGAGTTAATGCGTAACTTTATTTGTGTGAAGTGGCTGTGGCAGGCCGCTTTTGCATTTATTAAAAGTACTCTTCTCTCTTTTTCCTTTTGTAAATCACTCAAATAACTTTCAAAACGACTCCTATACTGAACTATAATAATACATTTTCTACAATACATTTTTGCAGCAGAAACTGAATTTCAGACAGCAAACAAACCAAATTATACTAGTAAGAAATAAGTTTTATATACAAAGAAATATGTACACATTTTAAGTGGCCATTATGATATTTATCAGCTTGACTGAAAAGGAATGTTTTGTATCTGGAATGCATTTCTTCATAGTCAAAATAATACCAATGTGACCATTAACAATAGGAATATGTAGATCAGAAATTAATTCCTAGACATCCATAATGATTATTCTAGATGTTAAGACTGCCATTTTCTTAGAAATGGTCATTTTTACATGGAAAAAATGTTTGTTCAGATATGAGGAATATATATTCAGTAAAACTAATTAATATCAAAAAGGCTTGCCATAGCCTGTTGTTCTGACGATAAATTTATGGGTTTATTTCTTGAACGGTAGTAAATCTGAACCGGGTTTGAACTGCTTTGATCCAGTTTAGCTTCCAGAGTTAGCAGAACTATTGTCTTCATCTAATCCTTTAACTTGTATGTTAGATCCAGTTCCAGTTCTAAGGAGGTATTCCCTTTGATCTCCTCCTCCGTTTTAGATGTGATTAATCTCTCCCTGTCACAGAGATATGTACTAAAGGCTTTTTAGGTTGCTGTAATTAAGCTTTTACTTAAGAAACCATCTCTTGACCCAAATGACTTAGTCAAGTCTTGAGAAAGTAGTTGCTAAAAAAGTGTGCGACGACTTACACCATAATTAAATTTTTGCAGAGTTTAATTCTGACTTTTGAGCTCATCATAGCACTGAAACAGCACTGGTGAAAGTCACTAATGACATCTTAGATGATAAAGTAAAAAAATCTTGGTGTTATTTTTGATCTGTGACACCATCTTGGAGAATAATATCAGCTGTGTTGCTGCCATCTACACCTTTCTTATTAGATGTTCAAGATGAACCTGTTTTTGAGTGTAGCCCTGTTTCTCTGACTGTGACTAACTGGATGTGTTCTCTTTCATCCTCTGAAATGGGAGTTAGCTCGGAGCTCGTCTGCCTGGCTGTGTGTTTTCTGGGCGGGCCCCTTGTGGAGCTGGTTTACGGTTGCCCTTTGTATCTCTGCTTCTTACTGTATCTCTGCTTCTGTCTCCTTGAACCCCAGTTGGCCTTGGCAGATGGCCGCTCACACTGAGCCTGGTTCTGCTGGATGTTTCTTGCCTTCAAGTGAATGAGTCGATGCAATCAACTGGTTTTCCTTAGAAAACTTTGAATTAATTTGACTGTATAATCTGGTTGAATTGTAGAGTGTCTTGAGATGACGTGTTGTGAATTGGTGCTATATAAATAAACTGAATTGAATTAATATATTTCGGGGAAATCATCTGCCAGCAGGCGATGATGAAGTCTAAAAAAAGTTATAGTAAATAGAACACGTGCATCATCTCTTGGGTTTCCTCCTCAGTTTGAATCTGTCGTATATCACAAGGTAAATACTAAGTGGCTGCTTCAGATTTTATCATCCCAATAAATGGCTGTTATTAGCAGTTATCAGTCCTATAGAATTCTGACTTTTTTCTCAGAATTCTGACTGAATTCTGACAATAAAAAAAGTCAGAATTTTAAGGTTAAAGTCAGAATTCTGAGATTCTAGTCAGACTTCTGAGAAAAAAGTCAGAATTCTGACTTTTTTCCCCATACTAAACTAAAATAAACTTGAAAAATCAGTTAACTTTTTTTTTTCCCCAGTGGCCCTAATCCTGTGGCCCTAATCCTGTGGCCCTAATCCTGTGGCCCTAATCCTCTTCCGTAGAAAAGTAGATAGGTAGGTTAGACAAAAAGCATGGAAGCTGGGGCAGTTTCCTATACATACTTTTTTTAATTAAACAAAAAAGAAAATGCAAACTATGACCTTAGAGGCAGATGGGAGATGAGGTGCCTGACATAAATGATGAAATACGATTTTTGACTCTTGGTTGAGGAAATACAGGAGTAAATACGGGGGATTTACATTCCTATTATTGATATTTTTTCCAGGATATCTAGGCTCTAGAATTTTTCTTCTTGTAAGATCCATTGAGGAGCAAATTTATCTCTTCAATTCACTGCATCCTCATTTTCCTCAGGATTCATATTTTCATGTATTTAAGTTGTAGGTAAATCTGTCCATTGATTGATTTGCTAGCAGTAAGTGTCCTATGGAAAACAATGACGAGATGGGCGTGATAGTTATCTTAAGTGTATCTCAAAGGCAAATCACTTCACTGACATAAAACATGCTCCCGACCAGATAACCAGATTACCAGTTGGACTTTGTTGGCTTATCAATCAGCTGCAATATTTACAGATAAAAAAAGATAAAAGCATTGTGTGAAGACAGGTAATTTCTTGCTCTTTTTAATACATGAAATTGAAAAGAACGTTTAAGTTTTGTTTTATGCTCATGTCAGTTATTTGTATTTTTGTTCTTTTAATAGCAAAAGAAAACTGGAAGCACAAAAAGGAACTGATTTTTTTTTTTTTTAATAACCTAAGGCATAGTTTTTATAAAACAATCAAAATATTAGCTCTCCTAATATGAAGAACAGCCTCCTTGGACCACTTGTTCTTCTCATTTTCATAAGCATAAAGGCATCTGCTTCGAGACATTACATTGTCTTCAACCATGGTTTGACTTGGAATGAAGCACACGATTTCTGCAAGAGGTGAGACTTTTATCCCTGTCCAATGACAATATGGATTTATTACATGTACTCTGGTATTTCTTTTAGTAAAAACATGCTAAATGTTTTTTGTTAGATAAACAAATATTCATTTGTGAGCTCCCTGTTATATATGCACAACAGTGAGACAGACAGGGAACAATACCTAGATTAACACAAGTTAAACATTTCAAATACAAATGTAATCTTGTACCTAAACACATTAGCACATGTAGTTGTGGAAGAAAATATTAGACCAACCGTGTTTTATTAGTTTTGTAAATTGTGTTTCCCTAAGTCACATTCCTTTGGAACAAAGAATTGTAAATGCAAGGGTGGTCTTATGTGTTTTTTTTTTCCTATGACTGTAGCTACTTATATGGTTCCTAATAATGGATTTCTGAAACTTTTTTTGTGACTGCAAACCTATTTCCACTTTGTGTGAAGCCAAAATATCTTTGCTGCATTCCCAGTTCATAATGAAATTGCTTAAAAATTTTAAAAAAATTACTTCTTACCTATTTTTGTATTAACCCCCTTTTTAAATCTATTATTTATTTAATTAACTAATTTCCTTCCATCCATCCATCCATCCATCCATCCATCCATCCATCCATCCATCCATCCATCCATCCATCCATCCATCCATCCATCCATCCATCCATCCATCCATCCATCCATCCATCCATCCATTTACTTAATTAATGAATTAATTATTTAATATATTATTTTCTAAAATAATGTGTCCAGCTAAAATAAATCATAAGGAGGGTTTGAACTTATTTTCATTATTTATACACATAATTGTTGAAAGATACTTAGATCTAAGAGGAATACACTCATATATTGAATGGGGAAGAGTAAAGGAATTGCTTATTGCGAATTGAAAGGAAAATAATACAAAGCTCTAAAAGTCATTCCAAGTTCTGTTTAGGACTCTTTGGTTTTTTTTTTACTTTTTGAAGATTTCGGTCCATGGCCTCTAATATGGGATTGTTGTGTGTTTTATTAAATTCAACAAAATAAGCAATCTTAAATTGGAAAATTTTAAATTTAAAGTTAATATATTGGAGAGAAGAAAAATTACACTGATAGCTAATACTGATGGACATGCAATGTTAGTTTTTAAATCCTAAAGCATATAACGTACCCCGTGAATTATTTACTTTTCATTGCATGCACAAAACTATGATAAAAATCTCCCGACTAAATCAGGAAATAAAACAGCATGATTGGCTGTAAGGAGAGCGGAGACCAAGGACACTCAGGGTAGGATGTTCCTACGGCAACAGAAACAGTGTTTGAGTAAACTCTCTTTGTGAACCGTCTCAAAAAATCTGCTTGTTGAAATGGACCCCTGGAATGTGGACCAGAGTTTACAGGTGTTTTGATGGGTGAGGTTAAAAGTCTATGGTGAAGATGGACAAAACTGTCTGCAACTGAATTTATTGGTGGAAGATAAACATCAAAACACTTACAGACACAATACAGCATACTGCATCAATACTGATCCAAATTCCAGCCAAGGTGCTGTTAAACTTAAACACATCTGCTGGTGGAGCAAGTCACTCAGGGAAAGCAAGTTTCCTCATGCAAACTTTGCACCTAATATCACAACTTAGCTGTCAATTCTGTTGAAACTGCCCAATAGAACTCAGGCCCGCACACAACACGTTTTTCATATCGAGAGAAAAAAAACTGAATCGAGAGCAAAGACTTAGATTTTGGGAAAGACAAGGAAGTCTAACAGCCAATTGCACAGCTATGCTTCAATACACCCCACAATTGGCTGTTAGACTTCCTCACAAACAGACCTCAGTCAGTCCAGGTTGGACAGAACACCTCTGATGTCATCACCCTAAGCACAGGCTCCCCTCAGGGCTGCGTTTTGAGCCCCCTGCTGTTCACCCTGATGACACATGCGTCCCAAGGTTTACCACCAATCACATTGTGAAGTTTGCAGACAACGACCAGGACTATAGAGAGGAGCTGTGTGTAATCTTGTTCCTAACCGCATTCATTCATTCATTCACATCATCAATGAACCCTCACACCCCCACCATGGACTGTTCTCCCTGCTGCCCTCTGCGAAGAGGCTACAAAGCATTTGAAGCAGGTTCAGCAGATTCTTCCCCACTGCCATTAGACTGCTGAACTGTTGAAAAAAACTTTAAATCATGTCTGAACTCTAAATCAATCTGACAACACAAACCAAAACACTGCATAATTGCACCATATTTATAACATTTTCTCCCACACTGTTTACATTTGATCACTGCTGCACTTAGATTTGTCATGAGAGTTGTACAAAAAAAAATTTCATTTAGTCTAAGTCTAAGACAAAAGTTTTGAGAGTGAAATCTATTTTTTAGAGAAAATGTTTTTTTTTACTCTGATTGAAAAAACTATATTTTAAAGTTAAAATATATTTTTGAGAGTGCCTTTTTTAAAATGTAAAATAGTCTTGTATTTATCCTAGGACAAAATATTTTCTCTCAAATACCTTCCGTATTTGCTGTCAGTGAGAGCATTTTTTCTATAAAATATTTATTTTACTTTTAAAATTATTTCCCCCTTTCGGATTGCTCTTTTCCCTTGAGTTAATAAAATCTCAAAAATAACTCCATAGTTAGGTACCTACACATAAACCAGGTGCATTTAAAAGTAAGGCTTTGTTTGTGAGGCCATGTACTGTAACTTTGACAAAAAACTTCTCCAAGTTTGGAAAAGGACCTAAACTTATTCTCCAAAAATACTTATAATGGTTAACAAATAATTTTGTAAACCATGTTGTGAAGTATTTCGGCCAATTGTAAACAACCATAAGACCTTAATAGTATTAGTTAAAATTTGATTAACTTTTTTTTTCTGTTAATCTAACACAAACTTACTTTATCCTTACTACAAAGCATCCTTTTCATTCACAAAAAAACTATTTGAGTACTCAATGGTGATGGAAAAAGGAAGAAAAATAGAGTGATTACAATTATTATTTGCCAATTTTAACCTGTGTGTTTTTGTTTTTCTTCTCAAAAGCCATTACACCAATTTGGCCACCTTCCTCACCCAGTCAGAGGTGGAGAGTTTGGACTTGAAAGAATATCTGGTGTGGATCGGCCTATACAAATATCATTCCTACTGGTGGACATGGTCTAGTGAACATACATATATTTATCGTTATTCAAACTGGAGATGGAAGGATCTACGCATGTGGGGATCTTGTGCTGCTGTTAACTTCAGAGACAAAATGTAATACGTGAGTTTTTTTAAAGTAACAATCAGGTTAATTGAACCTAGTAATTAGTTAAATTTCTGTCATCTAAGGGGCCATATATCTACACTACCACTTGTGCAATTTTTCTTATTTGAATAGGATTATCAATAACTATAAGAAGAAATTGTAGTTTATAAATTAATTTTCCTAACAGAGTTAATCCACTGCAAAAAAAAATTTTGGGATCATTTTGATTAATGACTACCGGCCTTTAATGATTATAATTAACAGATTCAGCTATCAGTTAACAATTATCAACTTAACTCACCAGTAAACATGACTATTTAAACAAGCAGTGAACCTGGTTTTGAATTAATCTCAGGTAAACATTTATAATTTTAATTATTAATGCAATTGGTAAATCTTAAGCATTAACCAAACCACAAAAAATTCCATTATATAAATCAAGCTGTTAATTTGAAAGAGTGTACACCAGTAGTCACGGAGACTGCATATCAATAATGCAAATTAACAGCAACCACACTTTTATGGCTCAAAGCAATTATGTTCAAATATACAACTAGAACACATCAAATCACAGAAAAGCAGGAGTTCTTCAGTTAAATAAAGAACTAATTAAGCCGTACTTAATCTCACCGTTGAAAAACTTAAAAGACCACTTATAACCTCCAGTGTCAAATTGGGAAGCTAAAAGAACGCTCACATCAGAAATGGAACTAGAACAGACCTAACTTTATAAACTGGATGGACTATCAGTTTATGGACTTAGCCATGGAGAATATTATGCCATGTGGTAGACCGTGCTCCAGTCTTGAGTTTTAAAAGACCATAACATAGTCAATGAGCAGCTTAGTAGGTGCAGCAGGATCATGAACACCATCAGCCTTGTAGGGGGAAATCTCCTCTTCAATGTCAGTCTGTGTGCCTATACTGTAACAGCTCCAGTTTGGAGTGGGTGGAAAACTTAGGTAAGATAGCTGGCATATTTGCATGAGATATCAGTGAGAAAAAAAAAAAATTGCTGGCCCCAACTGTTCAACAACTGTCTTTGGTGCAGACCAGAATGAGAGTGCTTCTTAGACCAAGACTGTCTGACACCCTTCTTGGATGGGACTGGAGAGCAGATTTACTACGACATTCACCCTGCCTTATGTTAGCTGTGTGGTGAAGTTGTTGGCCTGCAACTGCCCCAATGGCCAGTAGAGGTGCAGTGGACTGAGTCCTGACCCTAACATACACTATATTGCCAAAAGTATTTGCTCACCTGCCTTGACTCACATATGAGCTTAAGTGACATCCCGTTCCTAATCCATAGGGTTCAATATGACGTCGGTCCACCCTTTGCAGCTAGAACAGCTTCAACTCTTCTGGGAAGGCTGTCCACAAGGTTTAGGAGTGTGTTTATGGGAATTTTTGACCATTCTTCCAGAAGCGCATTTGTGAGGTCGCACACTGATGTTGGACGAGAAGGCCTGGCTCTCAGTCTCCGCTCTAATTCATCCCAAAGGTGTTCTATCGGGTTGAGGTCAGGACTCTGTGCAGGCCAGTCAAGTTCATCCACACCAGACTCTGTCATCCATGTCTTTATGGACCTTGCTTTGTGCACTGGTGCACAGTCATGTTGGAAGAGGAAGGGGCCAGCTCCAAACTGTTCCCACAAAGTTGGGAGCATGGAATTGTCCAAAATGTCTTGGTATGCTGAAGCATTCAGAGTTCCTTTCACTGGAACTAAGGGGCCAAGCCCAGCTCCTGAAAAACAACCCCACACCATAATCCCCCCTCCACCAAACTTTACACTTGGCACAATGCAGTCAGACAAGTACCGTTCTCCTGGCAACCGCCAAACCCAGACCCGTCCATCAGATTGCCAGATGGAGAAGCGCGATTCCTCACTCCAGAGAACGCGTCTCCACTGCTCTAGAGTCCAGTGGCGGCGTGCTTTACACCACCGCATCCGACGCTTTGCATTGCACTTGGTGATGTATGGCTTGGATGCAGCTGCTCGACCATGGAAACCCATTCCATGAAGCTCTCTGCGCACTGTTCTTGAGCTAATCTGAAGGCCACATGAAGTTTGGAGGTCTGTAGTGATTGACTCTGCAGAAAGTTGGCGACCTCTTCGCACTATGCGCGTCAGCATCCGCTGACCCCGCTCCGTCAGTTTACGTGGCCTACCACTTCGTGGCTGAGTTGCTGTCGTTCCCAAACACTTCCATTTTCTTATAATACAGCTGACAGTTGACTGTGGAATATTTAGGAGCGAGGAAATTTCACGACTGGATTTGTTGCACAGGTGGCATCCTATCACAGTTCCACGCTGGAATTCACTGAGCTCCTGAGAGCGACCCATTCTTTCACAAATGTTTGTAAAAACAGTCTGCATGCCTAGGTGCTTGAATTTATACACCTGTGGCCATGGAAGTGATTGGAACACCTGATTCCAATAATTTGGATGGGTGAGCAAATACTTTTGGCAATATAGTGTAGCTAGTAAGGATGTGAGGGCTTGTGCTTAGCAAAAGGCAGACTATACACTATGCACATAAATGAAACATGAAATAAAAACTCACAATGGTTACAGAAATAACTTGATACTGAAAAAATCAATGATGAATAAAAATTCTATGAAAATGAAAAACAGAATGGCTTTAAGAAAATTATAAAAATAAGCCCGGACAAAAATTATGGTACCCCTAGAAAAGATGTATTAAAGATATCAAAGACACATTAAATCAGAGTTTTTATACCAATTAACATGACAAGTCTCTGCAATCTTGCAATCAGTCAGTAGGCCTATGTATAGGGCTACTGGTAGACACTATGCTATTTGGTAACATGGTGTGTACCACATTCAACACAGCCCAGAGGAAACAATGGAAAGAGTCATCTCAGGAGATTGGAAAAAAAAATTTGAGACAAGCATGTTAAAGGTTAAGGCTATAGGAGCATATATAATCTGCTTGATGCCACCAGCCATTCTGGGTGGCTGGTGGCCAAAACAGTTAACTTCAGGCCCTGGATTAGACAAAAATCGTATTATTTCCCAAGGCATATCGGCTGTATGTTCTTAAACAAAAAAAACTGTCATTACTGTAAAACATGGAGAAGGCTCTCTTATGTTCTGTGGCTGCTTTGCTTTATCTTGCACAATCTGTCTTGAAACTGTGTTGGGTACATTGGGTACAGATGTCAAGTATCAGAAAGCTTGGTCTCAGTCACAGGTCACGGGTCTGCAACAGGATAATAAACCAAAACACACTGCTAAAAAGAGGTAAGAGTCCTGTCTTAAATCCTATTGAGCATCCTTGGAAAAAGTTAAGGGATAACATCTTGAAAAGGCAACCTTCAAACATAAGACAACTGGAGCAGTTTACGTATGAGGAGTGGGACAAAACACCCGCAGAGAGATTAAGAAAGTCTCTTTGAGAGTTATAGAACTTGTCTCAAAAGGTTGTGCAACAATATTTGCAGTGAAGGGTACCATTAGTTTTGTTCAGGCCTAAATCATGAGTTTATAATTAAAATTATGTTAAAGCATGGTTGAAAAGCAACTTCTGACTTTCATTTGCTCATTTTCATAGAAGTTTAAAATTTTTGTCCATTCGTGTATATCTGCACAACATACTCTAGGGGTTTTTATTTAATCAGAAATTCTTTTCTGAATGAATAGGGATCCGGAAACGATAATTTCCCCTTAAAAGCAAAACAGCTATCACACTTTCTTTTTGACTCATTATTGTCCAACTTTTGAGGGAAGCTAAATTTAGCTTCTTTTTATTTGCTTATATGTTTTCTTTTCTTATTTAGTTATCAATTATGTAATAATATTAAATTTTACAGAAAAACTTGTTTTGATCCTATAAAAACTATATCAAAGTGTGAACAACATTCATTTACTTCTTCAGTTAAGGTACATCAGAAATATAAAAGTCAATAAAGGTTTGTTCAAATTATTCACTAAATAGTTTTAGAAAAAATTTGTAACCAAGTGTAAAAATTATCCCAATGATGCTCGTTCCAGTATTCTGTTCTAGCAATTAGAAATACTGCTCTGATGTGGTTGTATGGTTGGTATTTTTTTCAATAGTCACATGTAAATAAATTGCAGGACTATCAAACCATCCACTTAACTGAAAACCTGGGGGGGGGCAACATTTTAATGGCCTGCTGTGTTGGCATGCTGAAACCTGACAGTTTTCTTTTGGATTTTTGGTAATTTACTCTGCTGGATTAAGATTGCATTGAATCAATTGTGTTTTTCTTTTTTCTCCAAAGATTTCACATACAAAATTGTCAAACTCGTCTGATGTTTGTCTGTCAGCGTGATGATGCATACACATTTGTAACAGAAGCAAAGACTTGGCTTGAGGCGCGTGAGTACTGTAGGCTTCAGCATGGTGATTTAGCCCGCTTCCAAACTTCCAGTATGAACGACATATTCACTGAGTTGGACTTTCCTCGCTGGACTGGACTGCAGAGAGCAGGTAATGACCAGAGTTAAAATCTGTAATGACTGATGTTATAATTGGGATTCCACTGATACACTGAATGATATCACCACATATGACCCAACATATTTAAACTTTGAAATTACAATTTTGACAATGCAAACACTAAAGTTACAAACATTGAAAATGTGAACAATCATGAGGCACGTAAATAGGATAGGATGGATATCTTGCTTTCCCTTACAATAAACAGACCATAAGCTTCTTATTGAGTTTAAGCTTTGCTTTCTGTTTTAGAATTGAGCTCGCATGCATACTATGTAAACTGGACGGAAACTGGGCTAAGTGGAGAAGGTGACTGTGTGAGCATCTTCTCACTGACCAAGCTGATGGAGACAAAGTTATGTGATGCTCGTCTTCCCTTCATCTGTTTCTGGGATGGAAATATTAATTTGGTACTGGTAAAGGAGAACAAGAGCTGGGAGGAGGCCCTGGAACACTGCCGAAGCCTGAATGATATTGGCCTTCGCTTTGATCTAGTCAGTGTGGAGTCTGAAGACGATTATGTGAACATGATGAGCAAGGTCATGGAAGCCAACACAGATGAGGTGAGTTCAGTAGGGAAAGAAATGTGGTTGCCAAGGGGTGCAACCATGATGTAAATACATGATTTCAGAGCAACTTTAGACTTAGAAAAACTTTATTGTCATTTTGTAAACAGAGTGTATACAAAACACAATTTGGATGCATACAGCTTTTCAACAGTGAATAAGCCACTTACAGCAGTAAAATGCACATTACCTTGAAATGAACAGTAAAATGTCTTGCAAACTCATAAATTAGACTAGCAAATAAAAAAGACTATCAAACACAAAAATGAGACCAACACAGAACAACCAAAACACAGACAAGGAAAAATGCTGCAGGTAGTAAGAACAAGTGCATGTTAAGAAAGGTTAACCTTGGCTGAGCCAGATTGTGCATGGTATCAATCTGGGAAGCCTCCTGTAGCACATGTTCACAAAAGGGAGAAAAATTCTGTACAATTGTACATAATTGTACAGAGGGGGGGCTAAAATGCTAACAGGAAGAGCTGTTGAGGATAATGAGTGCAATGGCTTCCATTGCAATCTTTGTCTCTGTTCGAAATCCTGGGCTGCATCCTCCAAGGATGCGGTCTACCTAGACAGGATCCTTAGAAGTCCGTGAAAATAAGGAGACCGGAAGTGTTTTGGCTGTGAATTCGAACAGGTCTACCCTTCGGCGGTGACTGTGAAAGTTGACACACAAAGCAGGACAAAAAAATGAGAACTGACGTTTTCAAAACTGTTTGTTTATTTATTTTTTTTAATTATAAAGTGAACAAAGACTACACTCACAAGAATCCAGAGTGGAATAAAGGTGCCAACCAGCAGGAACAAATAAAATCAAATGTAATGATAGAAACCTTAGTCAGTTAAATAACATGCTCCTCTCATTTTGCACATCTCTGATGTTGCTGCTATTTTCGAATATCCATTACTGTAAAAATTTCCATAGCTTCATATTGGTTATTTATTCTCCAGTTTTATATTGTTAAAACACTTTACAGAATTTTATTGTTTATATTTTAACTCTCCCCTATTATGTTACTCTTATACATTTCTAAGGTCCACATTTGTGTGACCATTTTCAATAATAGTTCTTCTGCAGTAAATGTGCCCATTGAGGGACAATAAAGAGATTTTCTGTTCTATAAAAGGGGTAGAAATATATAAGTAAATCTAAACAATGTATGTATAAAGATATATATATACAAAATCTCTAATATTTAACAACAAAAAATACTTAGTTAAGCATATTGTGCAAAACAACAATAAAAACTTAAACTCCTATCAGATCTATAGTCCCCACACTGCAGATACACTATATTGCCAAAAGTATTTGCTCACCTGCCTTGACTCACATATGAGCTTAAGTGACATCCCGTTCCTAATCCATAGGGTTCAATATGACGTCGGTCCACCCTTTGCAGCTAGAACAGCTTCAACTCTTCTGGGAAGGCTGTCCACAAGGTTTAGGAGTGTGTTTATGGGAATTTTTGACCATTCTTCCAGAAGCGCATTTGTGAGGTCGCACACTGATGTTGGACGAGAAGGCCTGGCTCTCAGTCTCCGCTCTAATTCATCCCAAAGGTGTTCTATCGGGTTGAGGTCAGGACTCTGTGCAGGCCAGTCAAGTTCATCCACACCAGACTCTGTCATCCATGTCTTTATGGACCTTGCTTTGTGCACTGGTGCACAGTCATGTTGGAAGAGGAAGGGGCCAGCTCCAAACTGTTCCCACAAAGTTGGGAGCATGGAATTGTCCAAAATGTCTTGGTATGCTGAAGCATTCAGAGTTCCTTTCACTGGAACTAAGGGGCCAAGCCCAGCTCCTGAAAAACAACCCCACACCATAATCCCCCCTCCACCAAACTTTACACTTGGCACAATGCAGTCAGACAAGTACCGTTCTCCTGGCAACCGCCAAACCCAGACCCGTCCATCAGATTGCCAGATGGAGAAGCGCGATTCGTCACTCCAGAGAACGCGTCTCCACTGCTCTAGAGTCCAGTGGCGGCGTGCTTTACCCCACCGCATCCGACGCTTTGCATTGCACTTGGTGATGTATGGCTTGGATGCAGCTGCTCGACCATGGAAACCCATTCCATGAAGCTCTCTGCGCACTGTTCTTGAGCTAATCTGAAGGCCACATGAAGTTTGGAGGTCTGTAGTGATTGACTCTGCAGAAAGTTGGCGACCTCTTCGCACTATGCGCGTCAGCATCCGCTGACCCCGCTCCGTCAGTTTACGTGGCCTACCACTTCGTGGCTGAGTTGCTGTCGTTCCCAAACACTTCCATTTTCTTATAATACAGCTGACAGTTGACTGTGGAATATTTAGGAGCGAGGAAATTTCACGACTGGATTTGTTGCACAGGTGGCATCCTATCACAGTTCCACGCTGGAATTCACTGAGCTCCTGAGAGCGACCCATTCTTTCACAAATGTTTGTAAAAACAGTCTGCATGCCTAGGTGCTTGAATTTATACACCTGTGGCCATGGAAGTGATTGGAACACCTGATTCCAATAATTTGGATGGGTGAGCAAATACTTTTGGCAATATAGTGTATATTAGAATCTTTCCTTAAATTACAGCCAAACCCATTTACACAGTAACCGATAAAAACCTTTAGATAAATCAAACATTATCGACGCTTATCTGACTGAATAATCATTAAAACAACTATTTTCATTCATTTCAGACCGAACTATTCACAGACTTGTATCATATTAAACTTAAATTCCAATTTTCACCACTGTTCTGCGCCAAGTAACCTTTCCTCTGATCACAGCTTTCTTGGTTTCGCAATGAATCTCGCAATAAATCCTGGGTAAACCAAGGATACCGAGGATACATCGAAACCGTCCTTCAAATCGGGCAAAAAGAAGGACGCATTTTAAGGCCGCATAAAGAGAACTCTTGGAATACGACCAGACCTTGGTGCCGTGCTATGACATCATCGTCCTTCGAATCTGGCCTTCTAAGGACGCAGCCCAGGATTTTGAACAGAGCATATGTGTCCGATACTGGATATTTCTCAGCAGGTGTTGTGATGATAGGAACTGTCTATGGTGCTGAAACTGGTACAGCAGCTGTGATTAGTGCTTTTAGACATTGTACTTTGACATGCGGCTGGGTACATTGCTGCTGTGTGGTAGATGGTTGAATAATTTGTTTAACAGGTTGAAATTCAGGGGCTGTTGCTCTGAGTTCAGGCTCTGATTAAAGTTGAGATCTTGCGCTTAGATCATACACAGGTACACTTTTCCAGTGATATGTGTATTCCTCCTCTTCCTCAGATTGTTCTGACTCTCGTGCGACACCTTCCTGAGGTTTCCTTAGTTCTTTGTTGTGATTTTGTCTTTTCCGGTTTACATCTTTACTTTGTCCTTGTTCAATGGGGTAAATCATTGACTGGTAATATTAGATTTCTGTGCAAGACTCGAATACTGTGGTCTCCTGTTTCAGCTTGGACGTGAAATACAGGTCCATCTCCTATTCTTTCATGAATGTATTTTTTTCAATAAGATCTTAGTTTACGTGACCTCACCGTTCTGAAAGATTTCTTAGTAGTATTCTGTCTTCTGGTTTTAAAGGGTGCCTTTTATGTGTTGGTCATAATATTTTTTTGCTGAGCTTTTGCCGCTATTTTCAGCCGCTATTTTGTATGCCTCTTGCATACGAGATGCCAATTTCTCTTCATACTCTTGTCTTGTTTTGCACTCACCACTACTACGTCTACAGGCAATCTAGGTGCTCTACCATAAAGCAGAAAAAATCGTGAGTAAGCGGTTGCTTCATGTCTGGTACAATTGTACACATGAAGAATGTGTGTGTCCACTCTGCTTTCTTTTCTTCATGTAGAGTGCGTAACATTTGTACAGTTGTAGTGATCGAACCCAGTCGTGCTTCATCTGGAACAAATGGTTGTTTTGGTTTAATGCATGTGCACTGCATGAAAGGCCAAAAAAAAGTTCTCAGACTAAGTGAATTACTTTGTCAGCGCCTACATGTCCCATGTCATCGTGCAAATGTTTAAGAACTGTTTTTTTTTTTGTTTAGGAGGGAGCACTAACTGTTTTCTCTGTACTGTACATTTGTAAAGCAGTCTTTTGTCAAGTTTCAGTCTGTTCCATTCATGTACTAGTCTCTTTGTTTCACGTGTCATCTGTTTCTTGTCTTTTTAATTGGGATGGCTCATTTACTTCTGAGCTTCAGCTTTTGAAGAAGAGCTACGAGTGTCTATGAGCTGATTTATACCTGAACCTTGCACCCTGCTCATGTGCAAACAAGTCTAACCATTGCAATTCCACTGTACTTAGTCTGACATGTGGTTTTTGGACGTTCACTGTGTGTTTGATCGCATCAGAGCATCTGGCTGTATAATCACTTTAAAAACAACACAACTCAACATTCTACTGCATTTTGCATCATAGTTATTTATTTTGCACTGCACTGAATCTTTCCATATCAATGCATTTTGCTAAATGACTTTTAAACTGGTTTCCTTTTCTCCTACACTGTTAACATTCTTTGATCCCTGCTGAACTTACTAAATGGTAATGTTCATTTCATTTCACAGTTGTAAGCTCCTTATTCAATGTTGTAAGCAGTATGCATCAACATTTCATTTTGTATACACTGTGTATATAAAATTACAATAAAGTTTGTCAAAGGCTAGGTCTAAGTCTACTGAACTTTTAAACCCTGCGGTTATGTCGTACAGTTTGACGTTATGTTGAATGGACAGATTCAGCTTGGTGCTATGGAGGGCTTGTTGAGCGTTCACTGCTCTCCGAAGCACTGATGGATGTCAACAAAATTTGTTTCATAAGTGCTACTGAAACTTGCTGATGTGTATGTTTTGAAAGGGTAAACAAACCAAATGTCTGAACTTATTTTTCTTTTTTTTTTGTAGTTGATCTTAAGAAAAAAGTCCTAATTACATTATTTGTTCTCGCAGGTGTGGACCGGTCTGCGTTTCCTGGGTGATGAATGGCTGTGGGTGAATGGGGGAAATACATCAAACATTGAGCTGCCTCAGTGTCCAACCCAGGAGCAGCGCTGTGGTGCATTATCAAAAAACAGAAGTGGCAGTGTAGAGGCCAGAGACTGTTCAGAGCAGAAAAACTTCCTCTGTTACAGTTTCGACGCTTAATGTCATTGTTGTCATCACAGCAGAATGGCTGCCTCTCCAGGCAATCAAATGTTTGATTCTATTAATATTTTCTTCTATGAATAGAATATCTGCACACTGGAAAAAAAATCGAAATCTAGATGAATGATTATTTTCTTAAAATAAGTGCATTTGTTCTTGGATTAAACACACAGACATTTTGCCAATAAAACAAGACAATTTACACTTAAAATAAGAAAACACACTTTTATTGTCTTATTTCAAGTACATATTATCTATTTATCCTAATTTAAGAGTAAAAATACCCAACTCAAATTAAGGGTAAATGCACTTAATTTAAGACATTTTTACTTATTTTAGATCATTTTTCCAGTGCACTCTCTAGAATTAAGTAACAATTGTTTAATGATAATAATAATAGTTTAACTTGATTGATCCAACACTGTAGAAATGTAGCTCTACATTTAACCCCATCCCCTCGGGGAGCATTGGGCTACCATTGTGCAGTGTCTTGCTCAGAGACCCAGAGTGGAGGCTGAGAGGATCAAAACCGTGTACTTGCAACTTTCTCAGAGCACAAGCACACTGCTCTAACCACTAGGCCAAAACTCCCCTCAATAGAGTTTAACGGATTATTTTCATTGAAAATGTATTTTGTTTCTTCAGTTGAACTTAGTAAAGATGTAGAAAACCCATGTAAGCTTAAAAGGGAACTACAACATCTGTGGATTAAATTAAGCATAACATTCATACGTCCTAACTGTTATGGTAACCATGCTGTTTAAAACTTTACTTGATTTTGTAATTAATAGCTGCAGTTGTAAAAGTTCAGCTTTTAGCCATATAAGAATACTATTTGGATTTTACTAAAAACTGCTTGTAAAGCTTTACTGTTACTATTTTGCTGTAATGCTGTCATTATTTTGGGATTTATAAGGTTACACATAGATCTGCACTATGTATCTGTAAAAATAATTAAACTAATTAAACTAAATTCTGCAAAGAATGTGTAACTTGTGTAATACCCATTCTGATTTACAAACAGAAAATATATATCTAGGATTTGATTAAAATCATAGTCTGAAATGAGCCATTCATATTTTCTCAGTTTTTCTTTTCTCTGATATTAGAGTAATTTTTTTTTTATAAATTGATATAATTGTGATAAAAAGTAAAGCAAATAATCTATTTGAAAAAAAAAACACTGTAAGGGAGAATGTTTAACTTCCTAAAACCTAGTTTTGGAAGTTTCTGATCTCCCATTGGGAGGAGACTAGGGGGGACAGAGGTCTTCTGGATGGACTATATCCTGTCTGTCCTTGGTGACAAGGGGGTCCATCAATGTTGGGTTGCTGTTTCTGTGGACCATGAGGTATACAGTAGGTTTCTCTCTGGTGGTCTACAGCCCCCAAAGGCCAAACTAGCCAAAGACTATGGAGGCCAAAATAAGCGTTCCTATTTCTCAGGGGTCAGCTCCTAGCTAGGAATGATAATGTGCCCTACTTATATCGGTCCTTCTGTGTTCTGGGTGGAATAAGTCTGCCTGGTGTGTCAGGGGCTCTAGGGAAAGGTTTTAAATTCAAGCCCTACAACCAATACCTTCACTTTTACTATTGAGCACTCTCAGGTGAAAAACTCAACCATACTTATTCACATCAAAGATTTTTTTATACGAAAATTATTTTGCGTATTTTGTTTCCCGGTATGCTGGTGAAGATTTTCAGTCATCCAGGCCATAGTCATTTGAAAAAAGTAAAAAAAAACAATCCACTGGATTTTGTTTCCAAGTCTGAAGACGTTTTAATTCCCATCTAGTAAGCTTTTTCAATTCAAAATGTCAGAATTAGCATTGTGTTTGAGGCTTTATAGAGTGAAACAAAAAACCCAAAAAAAGATATAACATTGTTATAAATTGTTAATTTGCAATTAGCATAATTTATTTATTGATGCACTTACTACAAAGATTTATTTTGGAAGAGATTTTGTTCTTGAAAGTGTGATATTATCTTTCTTCTCTAATCTTTTATTTAAATTGTATTAGTATCAAAGCATACTGTAGTTCAGAAAAGGTGTCTGAAAAGTCAGAAACTTCTATGTAAAATCAGTTTGTTTCTCCATGGACACACAAACTGTGAACATTAACTACCATGCTAGGTAGAGGAAGCTGACTGCTCTTTATCACCAGTACTGCTCCTAGAAAGCTGATTGGGCTGGTATTTTTCACTGCTGCTGATCACCATAGATTAACCATCAGTAGCAGTGGCTAACTCTGACACTGCCCTTTTCTCGAAGAAGCTTTCAATACCCCTGTAAATGACAACAATTGGTCATATACAGTAGCAATGACATCAGCAACTAAAATGTTTAGCTAATAAAGCCACCATTGAATTATAACCCATGCTCTTTTGTAATATTTTGTACAGTGGACAATTCATCACTCAGGCTGGATTGACCCTTTTTTTCAGACACATTTATTGGGTTGGTGATTAATAACTTTGATGATAGCCATAGTCTAACTTACTAAATTGGTGAAGAGCAACTTAATTTTTAACAGCCAATCCAGGAGTCAATTCTTTTGTGAGAGACTAAGAACCCTGGTCAGTAAGCAAGTTACAGTTGTAATCTTCCAACTGATAAATAGTTTCACCCTGGATTTAAATGACCAATTAATTAACCATAACTTCCAGTTCTAGTTATTTAAAATATTCATAATCAGAAATGTTTTTCTGCAACTATTTAATGTTGCTATGCCTGCTTGGTTGAACATAGCAGCTACTTTCATTGCTTTATGTTAGACATGGCCATGCAGAGATGACAGTCAACTCTTAGGAGTCATGATATGGCTTTTTTTCTTTTATGTCAGCACAGAAAAGGTCTTCTGAGACAGATATGCAGATGCGAATGGAACCGTAGATCAGTTGCAGTTTTTGAAAGTGCTGCATATTCTTTTGCTTCTGACAATCAGAACTCTTCCGGAATATTTGCAGAGAAAACCGTCTAATTTTGCATCATAAGCCAAATTGAGCAAGGCATCCTGAAGCTCTGATCAGAGCTGGTGGTCAGTGAAGGGGGTGAAAGGCCTCTCCAATCGTTCTTTTCTGGCAAGTCATCCTTCTGGAAGTACTTATTGAAACTTTCAAGCAGGCTCCTGAACATGGATGCAATAATTTATTTCATAGTTTGAATGGTTATGTCATAACGCTCCATAAAGCCCTCAAGCACCAGTAACATTTCAGCACTTCCCGGACCTACTCATACAGCCCACCACTCTAGCTCTCTTAAATATTGCGACCTTAGTTGACAGGTTGTTATTTTTTTGGTGAAGCCTAGTTATGGCCAACATTAGCTAATTTTGAGTGATAAAATGCCTAAAACATCCGCCTGAGACAACTGCTCACCTTCCAGTTAATGTCCGATCATAAGCTACATCAAAGGTACTGTATATAGTGCCGTCGTTGGTGCTGGTCCCGTTAGCTATGTTTTTCTGCGCATGTGCACTTTTAGGCGAATATGTGTGGTGAGCTACAGTTTCAGACAGTCATCGGAGCTCACCTTTTTCACTGTGGTCTTTGAAAATGGCAGAGGGTCTTAAGAGAAAAAGTTTCTACGAAGTGTATGAGAAGAAAAGAAAGGCCTCAGAAAAGGGCATATATATATATTGGAAGAGGGGATAAGTCCTTCCAAGCAGCTTGCACCCAGACTGTGGAATGCACTACCACTTTACCTGCGCTTGGTGAAGCAGTGATCATCTGCCCAAACAGTAAGTTAACTGAGTTTGCTATAAAGTCCACTATATAGTCCCCACTGTCTACAGTCATTGAGGGATTTAGGGGTTAGGATATTCGGACACAGTAAGCTTGTATGATTTATGAAACAGCAACTTTTAAACAGAGCGTGCACGAAGAGAAATGGTCTTCTACATGCTCTTGCATGCATTTGATAGGCGTTCCCTCTCAGGAACGTGTACAGGGTTGGGCATGTGCATTTTTTTTTTTTAATTTAGTTTTAAAAATTCTCCACAATGCCTTTAATTTTTTGAATTATATTTTTCCAAAATGATTTGGTGACCCCCAGAAATCATCTTGCACACTCAATTATTGCCTGGACCCCAAGGTTTAGAATGGCTTGCTTAGAAAACTGTACAAATTGGGTGCTTGCAACCCAGAAGCCCACCACAGCAATTATGATGCATCTAAAATACACCAGACTAAAATACATTACATCAGCTTTGTATAAATTTTGTCCATAGTCCATCCCTGGTGCTATCCCTAAAACTGAAAAAAAAATCACCCCTGCTGCCCCCATTTTTTTTAGAAATAATTGGTGCCAACTCATGCTTTTTAACCTTACCTTTTTTGTAAGTTCCCATAAAATATCAAGACCAAAACATGAGTATATAAGTTTTATTTTTTCATCGTTTTGCTTACAGAGCTTCATACATCTTGAACTAATTTTTTTCTGTAAAATAATAAGTGCTATTACTATTAAGCATGCACATTTATTAGCTATACAAGTAGTGCTACAAAGACCCAAATAATTCAGAATATTTAATTTAAAAATTCTTCACCACTAGTTAACCATAGTATCTTAATAGAGCAATCCATACCTAGATGTGTTAGCTTAGGGCTATCTCTTGCTAAATTTCTGAAGCAAATCTTTGGTTGCTTCTTTTCATGAATAAGTATAGATTATTTATTTTTTACTGCAGAGTTGATCCTTAATGCCACTAATGTTGACCTCCTTAATGAGACTAATGGGTGGATGCATAACTGTAACAGAGAAAATTTTTCTTCTGTAAACAGTCCCTTGTCTTCATTTTGCCAGCATCCTTCTTAGATAGGGCTCCACAATTCTGCTGTTGAGTTGGGCAGAAGGGCAGGTCAGTGTGCAGCATATCTGCCCCATTTACCCACAGCCATTCACCAGCTAGGAAACAAAGGCCAGTCCAAACCTGGAGAAACAAAATATTCATCTTGCATTATTTCAAGACTATAAGAACTGCTAGGGAGATATATTGATGACTATCTGTATGCTCTTTGGCATTGCCTG